TACATGTTGTCTCAGGAAACTTCATGAGCTGTGAGCTGTGCTGATAAAGATCTCATGTTTCAAGAAGTCTGAGATTCCTTCTTTGAAGCAGATTTCAGGTGTTTCCCACAAAGTTAGGCTGTGTGCTACAGGCAGTTTCTTACTTGTTCAGCACCCCCGCACCCCTCCCAAGACAAGTGACCAGCATTCCTGAACTGCTTGGATTCTTGAAAGAAAAATATGCAATAGCAAAGGGAAAATTACCTTTGGCTACAGAATGAAGGGCGTAGTGAAATCAATCAATTAATCTTTCACTGATCTTTTGTATCTTGGTTTCCTACAACTTTCATGTCGTTTAAAAAAGATCACTTAAAGTTTAGCCCATGGAAAGAAGGCGTTCCTAATTCCACCAATGTCAGTTATCTTGAATAATCTGTGCTTTGTGTGGTATAAAACAAGTTACTTCTGTTTCTAAATGCTGCTATGTCTATGTGTCTTCAAGTATAATACCAAATCTATAGGTATAACTTAATAACAAGAAATATTAACATTTTTAATATTAGTTTCAGTAAATCAATACCTAATAGGCATTTCTAACTTGTCAGTCCAGTCACAGAATCCATACAGATTATTTTCTGTGTAGCCAGCATCATCATGCTTTCCTTCTCTCTTGAAATGGCATTAATGTGAAACATCACTACACTAGTACTTTTTTCCCTCCTCTCTTGTCCCTCCCAGAAGACCTTACTGCAGGCTGCCCATCCTATCTGCAGACCAGACTGATCTTAGAAGTACATAAACATTTCAAAAAGAAAATCCTCCCCTCTAGAAACATTGGAACACATGTAGTATAATAAACCAGACGTAAATGTTTTTATTTTTATAGATCCAAAAAAGAACCTTTACAGATCGCTTTATGAATGATTTTATTAATACTACATGTGGAGAAACTGGGCACAATTTCATGACTGCTCTAAACTACAACTCAGACCTCTAGACCAGTACTCTTTCAGAAACAAAATATTCCAAATATAAAACCAATGGCAGGGAACATGCCCTAATTTTTCCTTTCAAACAAATTAGGTGGTTAATTTCAGAAGAAAATGACATTAAGTTCAGATTGTACTAAGAGTTTGTTTGCTATGAGTCTTTCTTTTAAGGTATAGCAGAAAACATGCATTTTATTTATTTTTACTGCCTGTCAATCTTCTTGCACAGGAGTAATCATAAGAAAGTGAAGAGTATTGACAGTTTTCTTTGGGAAACACCAGGTATATGTTATTTTCTCTCTCAGATTGTAAAATTTGTCAATACCTTAACAAATGGAGAGGAAAAAAGAAAATGACATAAAAGAAATGACATTAAGGAGACATGACTAGAAGGAGCTAATTTCTAAATACTTGCAGCCAAAAAGGACACTCAAATGTTTTGTAATGATTAACTCTTCTGTGATGGCATTCATGAGCTCACCAACATTTTATGTGTTTGTGCAGTCTCCCCTGGGAAGCCATAAAGCACTAAATGATCATCATTAGGAAGATGTCCTGCTTTTGATAGACACACCTGGATTTAGATTTACCACTACTACTGAGATCTTACCTCCCCAAATCACTTCATTGAAATGCTTTTGTTCTCACTTCTAACCTTTGTCTTATTGTTTATAGTCATAATAAACATTAGTTTATTGTGCCACACAATAGATGGAATGTACCACAATAAACATTAGTTTATTGTGCCACACAATAGATGGAATGTACCACATTTCCTTCAAGGGGTGTTTTACAAGCTATGCTTGCCCACTTTCCTTAAGTATGTTTTGTTTGTTTTTGGTGATATTAGGATTTGAACTCAGGGCCTTGCACTTGCTACACAAACACTACCACTTGAGCCATGTCTCCAGCCATTTTTGCTTTAGTTGTTTTCTTAGATAGGTGCTTGTGCTTTTTGCCCATGCATACTTAAGAACTGTAATTCTCCTACTGTGCCTCCCACAAAGCTGGGATTATAGAAGTAACCATAGCATCCTGCTTGTTCTTTGAGATACAGTCTTGCTGATGTTTTTGCCTGGGCTGACCTTGAATCATAATCTTCCTAGCTCTATCTTCCAAGTATGCCTTCCTTTTTGAACAAAAAAATCAAGGCATGCCCTATTTTTCATTATTGCTTTCTCTAGAAGCTGTTTATTTCCTATAGTGTATAAATCCTCCCCCCCAAAAAATTTCTTTTTTATGCCTTTGGAAAGGCTATCAGTGCTGTCTCCTAAGAAAAATCCTCCCTGCATTCCTTTCTGGTCTTTTGCTCTCCTGCTTCCTCTGGAATATAAGCCAAAGTCCTCATACTCAATATGAGTTGAGCATCACAAATCATGGATTGGGATAATCTGATGGATCTTCAGAGATCTTCAGGTGTCCAGTAGCTTCTGACAAAGCACCATTCTTGAGTTTCATAAAATTCTTACTATTATTGTTTTAAAGAGACTGTTGGGGCTTCCTATTAAACCAATAAATCTTTCGTTGACTGAAATCACACTCTGTCCTTCTCCCATTTCCTTCTGGTGATCTTTGTTCTGTAGACAAACAGTTAAAAGACATTGGAGTTGCTTGACCTCACAGCTTGTTATAAAAACACTTTGTAAAGAAGGATAGGAATTAGGCTCTTGCTTACGGAGCTCTTGTGAGTCTGTTCAAGATGTATTTAGTTTAATTTTTACAATGATAGGTGAGCCATCATCTAATTGTTCACGATAAGAGCTGTATGAGCTGGATGCGAGTGGCTCACACCTCTAATCTAGCTACTCAGGAAGCAGAGATCAGGAGGATCTGGATTCAAAGCCAGCCCCAAGCAACTAGTTCTCAAGAGCCTGTCTTGAAAATATCCAACACAAAACAGGACTGGTGGAGTGGTTCAAGTGGTAGAATGTCTCTCTAGGAAGCACGAGGCCCTGAGTTCAAAACCCAGTATCCCCAAAATAAAAGGGGAGTCTATGTGTGTGTGTTGAGGTGTTAGTGCACTTGGATATAATCAGCATATTGCAGGTGCATAATTTTCAACAAAAATCTAACATAAATTGTGCCTGGTTTTCTTTCAGCTTGTTTACTAGTGACATTTTTAAATGAAGACAGTTATATGATAGAATTTAGAATGAGTGGGAAATTATTTTCAAGAAGATACTACACTTAAGATTTTCCATAAACAGTTTTTGTCAGTTTACGAAGCAGTAAAATTTTAAAGGCATTAAATTAACAACAAAAAAGATAAAATATGTAGGGATTAACTTGAAAAATGTACAAAATCAATATGAAGTTCACTTTAAAACACTGTGGAAAGTCACAAAAGGGGATTCGAACAAGTGGAAAGACATGCCAAGTTCTTGGATAGGGAGACTCAAAAATAACATAAAACATAAATACTAATACTTCCTCAATTAATTTATAAACTTAATGTGATTCCCTAACAAATAGCATTGTTTTGCTTTTTAATCATGATAAGGAGATTTTTGAAGTTAATATATAAAAATAAAAAGCAAAGCAACTAGCAAAACTTGATTAACAAAAGAACAAGAGGGCATTGGTTTTTGCCAGATATAGAAACATACATTATAAAGCCTCAGTAACTAAAATAGTTTATTTATTTATTTATTTATTTATTTTTATTGTTTTATAATTCATATGTGCATACAAGACTTGGGTCATTTCTCCCCCCTGCCCCCACCCCCTCCCTTACCACCCACTCTGCCCCCTCCCTCTCCCCCCTACCCCCTCAATACCCAGCAGAAACTATTTTGCCCTTATCTCTAATTTTGTTGAAGAGAGAGTTTAAGCAATAATAGGAAGGACCAAGGGTTTTTGCTGGTTGAGATAAGGACAGCTGTACAGGGAGTTGACTCACATTAATTTCCTGTGCTTGTGTGTTACCTTCTAGGTTAATTAAATAGTTTCATTTTGGTGTACAAATAAATAGACTAAACAAGGGTCAGAGTAAAAGTTACATAAGTAGTCCCAAATACTTGCAAGATTTTATCTATGGTAAGGTCATATTTCAGATCAGTGGGGAGGAGGTGGATTGTTTAGTAAGTTTGGTTGTGACAACTGGATGATCTTCCAGGGACAAGTATGAGTTAGCTCTGTGCTTTACACTGTGGTCCAGGTTGCATTCCAAATGGGTCAAAGATTTTAAAATGAAATCATAAAAGCTTTACGAGAAAATACAAGAGAATTAACAACTTCACAGTGGGCAAGGGCTCTCTAATTTGACCTTCGACCCAGAAATCATAAAAGATTTAACCACAAACTTTTATATAACAAAAAAATCTACAACCAAGAGCAAAGGGAAAAATGTATTTGGAATTCTTAGTGCTGACAAAGGGATAATCTCCCTAGGATTTAAGAAACAGAACAGAAGGAAAACAAAAACAAAAACCCTAACAATGAGTAGAAAACTTGGCAAAATAAACACTTGTTACAGCCTGGCTCTAGTGGCTTACACCTGTAACACTAGCTGTAACACTAGCTACTAGGGAGACAGAGATCAGGAGGATCATGGTTCAAAGCCAGCCCAGGTAAACAGTTCATGAGACCCTATCTCAAAATAGTCCATCACAAAAAAGAGCTGGCAGAGTGGCTCAAGCAGTAGAGCACCTGCCTCGCAACCATGAAGCCCTGAGTTCAAACTCCAGTACTGCCTAAATAAATAAATAAAAAATAACAGTTTACATAAAGGAGTTACTAATGGTTCTTAAAGCATAAAGAAGAAAAAAAATATTCAGCCTCATTTAGACTGCCTTAAGATACCACTAAGACTGGCAAAAGTCCAAAAATTATGTAGTACATGGTGTTAGTGAAAATTTGGAATAACAAATGCTATCATTGGTGGACAAGTAATCTAATACAATCCTGATTGACAGCAATTTGACAATTTCTGTCAGTTTCATTATTATAATTTCATTAAGTTAATATTTACTATAATTTCTATCAGTAAATATTTTTATTCCCTCCCCTTTTATTTTCTCTAGCTTTGAAAAAGGAAAAAGAATAGTATTAGAAAATAATGTCGTGTCTCAGAGAAAAATAAATTACCAAGTCTTTTCCAAATACCTTATGTACAATGGACAAATTTTCATCTGGTAAGTTGTCTAATTTTGATTTAGAGAGGTTATAAGGAAAAAAGATTTATATATCAAAGTAAACTTTGATATAAATAATAAAATCTTATATGATCTTAAAAACTTATAAAGCTAAGTTTTATAATCTTATAAGACAAGAATTTTTTTCTGTATGTTCCACTTTGTTTTTGTTAACCTAACTTTTTCTCCCTTGTGACTCACCATCCTGCAACAATAGAAAACAAATTGTCAGGTCTTAGAACAGTAAATTGGATTCCAACTTTGCATAAAAACATCATATGTACTTGGCACACAAACAACATATGCCTGTATATAGATGTTTGATGGATTTTATTTATTTTGAGCTACAGCATTTTAGCCATTGATGATAACATCTGAAGTACCAAAAATGTCTTGCTTCTGTGTCATTCATTAATAATGTGAAATGGTGGGTTGTACACATTTGTGTGTGTGACTGCATGTTTAACACTACTAGGACCCCCTGTTGGCAGAGGGCCTTGGGAGCTTGTATACAAAAGGTACCAAAACGAGGAAAGGGGCACACATTGTATGATATGTAAGAATATAACAAGAGTAGACACCTTCTTCATGAAAACAAAAACCTGTTGTTTGGATGGAGAAGACTAAACTCATTTCTATTGTTGCTATTATTGTCAGAAAGTTTAGTAATAGTGCTGTCTTCATGTGAGAAAGACATGTCACTACTGTTAAGATTCATCCTATTGTTTTAGAGACTGAGGTTTTTGTATAAATTAATTTACTACCATGCGGGAATAGAAAAATCATGTCTGGTTTTAATGCCAGGAAAAAATTGGACTGAAATTACACCATGCAGCTGGTCTGTAACAGTGATTAAGTCACACAGTTTTGGAATGGCTTAGTTTTCTTTTATATAAAATTGGGTTAATTAATATCTGTCTTGTGGGTCTCCTGGGAGGAGAATATCTTCTGCAATGGTGTGTGGCCCTTGTTGGTGTTCAGCGAAGATGCTTCCCCATCCTGGACTGGGCCAAATTCCTCATGCTCCCTTGGCTCCCTGTGCCCACTGCTCTCAGGGCATTCCTCCTCCCCTTGTCTATTTGGCTGTCTTTGGGGGGTGGTCTTTGTGCTTTGTCTCATCTCTAGCATTTAGGAAATTATCAGGCATGTTTAAGTAAATGGAAAAATTTAAGCACTTAAATTTTATTGTAATACTTTGAAATAGAAAAAAATTTAAAGTAAATTTTTTTTTGTGTTGCGGGGTTTGAACTCAGGACCTTGCATTTGCTAGGCAATCACTCTACTGTTTGAGCGATGCTTCCATTCTTAGTAATTGTTAATTATGGCATTATATAGAATCTATTGTAGAGACTTACCATTAACACAAGATTAGACTTGAGTAGTTCCAAGGGGACCAGTGACCCTTCATTCTGTTAGGACAAATCACCAGGAGATGGGATCTTAGTCAATGTAGTACCCATGGAAAGTCTAATATGAGGTGATACCAAGAGGCTAGGTGACTTTAAGGCCATATGACTAGCATAGAGGTGTATCTTGGCTTCTTTAACCTATGTCTAGAGTATTTTGCAGGGTATTAAATAAAATAAATACATTCAAAATACTTAGCATAATGTGTGAGATATAGTGCCAATAAATGGTAGCTACTGTTGATATATCAAAACTTCCTTTCTTGAGGCTTGAGACTCTGCCTCATGCATGTATTATTAAAGCAATCTATAATGAATTTATATGACTGTACTTTTAGAACTGAGCTCTCTGCCATGACTGTGTCAGTCTTGTGGACATCCGCAGTGACTGTTGACTCTGATTCACTATTAGTCAAGGCCCTAGGTCACCATGCCTTTCCTTAGTAGTAAGTAACCATTTTGCTTCATGGCTTTGGCCTTTTGCTGCTGATAGTGCTGTTGCTTGGGGTTTTTATCTCTGGCTGCCATTGGTCTGCATGCTTCCACTTTTTCTATTGCTAGCTACTGCAGGAACTCTGAAAGGAAGCCAGTAAGTACAACTCTGTGCTCCATTCCTAAAAGGTAGGCTCTTTGTTCACAGCCCACTCAATTCATTTGTAGAAGAATCTATGATTTCCTCTGCATACAGTGGTTGAAAAGAGATAGGATGAGACCTTGATTTCAGTTCTCTGCTTCTGTAATTGATTTATAACAAGCAGCAGATATTTAAAGTGAGACAATTTGGTAAGTTTCTATACATGTATCCACTGGTGACAACATCACTGATATTAAGGTACCTATCTATCAAAACTGTGTCATGTAAAACCCAAAAGCTCAAATTGGAACCAAAGGCTATTGAATGTCAAGATCCATGCTGTAGGCTGGGCACGGTGGTGTGTACATGTAACACTAGCCTCGGGAAGAAGAGGCAGGATGGAGGCCAGCTTGGACTACGTAGCAAGAACCTGTCTCAAAAATAAATTAATTGAGAAAATTAAAAGCTCCATGCTGTGGGCTCCAACGCTTAAGTTCTAATGGGAAAACAACTACTATTTTTCATTTGTGTAGGAAAAGCACACAGTCTTTCTGAATCTGTTCATTTCTTCAGTAAAAGAGTCATGCTAAATGTTCCTAATGTGTTTTTCAACTGTAAGTATTGACTGTTTTTTACCAATCAGTTATGCCTTAATAAGTTAAATTTTTTAAAAAGCTGATTTTCAGTTAAGATACATCCTGACCTTAGCATGTATTTCTTTCCCTCCCAGGAGTCCACTACTGTGAAAGTGAAAGGGTTACAAATTCATGATGTTGAAGAATAAGTTCCTTTGCTTCATTCATGCTTCTTATGCAGAGGTAGTGAACTCTGCTCGAATAGTTTGTTTTAATTAAATGAAATGGCACTATTCTCTGTAATTTTCACAGTGGAGCTATATAAGACATTAAAAAACATGTTTTTGTTTACATAGGAAAGTGTTTAAGAAGCTTATGGAATAAAAATGAGTCAGAGTAATACAGAATCTGCAGGAAGTCCCTCAAGAGAGCTGGTAAGATAAAAATTTCTGTTTTCTTCAAGTGTATTCTGTAATTACTTTTCTGACTATAAACTCCATAGCCTTGTGCTCACAAGAGACATTTTCCTCAATCTTTTGTAATTATGTAATTTTTTAAAAGTTAATACTGGTAATAGTCACCTAAAATTTTGTGTTCTTTCCTTTTCCAGAGAATACAGATTTTATATAGATATGCATAGTGATGTAGATATAGGCCATTCTATCTATGTAGAGCGCTGTCTTTGTGCTTCAGATGTTACCATCAATGGCTAAAATGCTGTAGCTCAAAATAAATAAAATCCATCAAACATCTATATACAGGCATATGTTGTTTGTGTGCCAAGTACATATGATGTTTTTATGCAAAGTTGGAATCCAATTTACTGTTCTAAGACCTGACAATTTGTTTTCTATTGTTGCAGTCTTTGCAAAAGAATTTCTAGACTCTTCATCAAGATCTTCATTTACACAGCTGTTAAATCCAGGGCAACTGTGGTGAAAGCATGAATAAAAATTCATCTGGTGCAGTTTCGTCCAGTCTACTTGAAAAGTAATTTTTAAATTCATTGTTTTAAAACGACATAGTTTGAAATGTGTAGACTATTAATGAACCTTTAGTTAAAAGTTTTTTTTATAACTAGCTGTCTAATGTTGTCTAGGACAGCAGAAATGAATAAAGTAACACACTGAATTACTGGTGTTTCAGTGTGTGTTAGTCAGATTTCTATTGCTGTGACAAAAATAACTGAGGTATTCAGTTTCTGAGGTTTTAGTCCATGGCCACTGGGCCCAGTTACTTTGAACCTGTGGTGGCACAGTACATGATAACAGGAACATGTGGCAGAGGTGGTCTGTTCACTTCATGGTGCCTGAGAAGCAGAGAGGGATAGGAAGGGAGCAGAGCCCCATTGTCCTCTTCAAGGGCATTCCCTCAATGACCTAACTTCCTCCAGCTAGGCTCTGCCTCTTAAAGTTGCATCACCTCTCAGCACCACAGGCTGGCCACTAACCTTTTAAACACATGGGCCTTTAGGGGAGGATATGTCTAAACCACAGCACAGTGTAAATCAATGTATAGGACAAAGTCTTCATTTTTATTAAAAATTACTTGTAGAGACTGCCTTTTTTAAAAGTATGATTTGGATTTTCGAGTATCTAAAATATTTTATCATTATAGTGAAAAATTATATAAGATAAGGTTTTGCTGACTAATCACCATAAAATGCCTTGAAAGAGCAAGCATTCATTCTTTCTCATGATTCTGTGGGTTGACTAAGAAGTTTGGGTCTGTACCAGAAGATGGACGGTGACTTTCTTCACATGTTCTGAGGTCTCAGCCAGGAAGGTTAGATAACTGGAGTCTCTTTACACCTCTTCTCTCATCCTTTGGGAGATTAGCTTGGGGTTTTTCACATGGTGGCAGAATGGTTCCCAGCAATAAGCATTAAGTATTTTCAAGTGTTTATTTTCCTCACATTTGCTAGTGTCCTATTGGGCCAAAACAATCAAACAGTCCAGTCCAAGTTCAAGCAGTAGAGATTCAGACTTTATTTTTAATGTATGGAGCAGTAAATTACATTGTCCAGGAGCAGGAATGGGAGGAGTTGGTAGCCACTTCTTGGGAGGTGGGGAGATGAGGGTCACAATTTAAGTCCAGCCCAGACCAAAGTTACCTAGATCCTCTCTCATTTCTAGGCCTCACAATATGCTTTTGCAACATAATATCCCTTGCAGAGTGGGGTGGGGTGCTGAAGACCATGTCAACAGAACATTTTGGACCCAATCTTCTCTGCCTTTTTTCTAACTAATTCCCATTCTAGTAACCACATAGGCTTATAGAGCTGAATCCAATATAATGCAACTCTAGATGATGTGGTAAATACATAACAAAATATTCAATAATAGGAGATTATGTATTTTAAAATTTCTTTCATTCATTTTTATATTATATATTTTTGGCGATACTCATTATTGAACTCAGGTCTACCTACATGATTGCTAGGCAGGTGCTCTACTGCTTGAGCCATACCTCCAGCTCAACATGAAGTAACTCCTCATAATAGTCTCAGTGTTCGGTATGTTTGAAGATAGCTGGAAGTCCTCTATATTCCACAATGACTTAATGTACCAACAAATCAGCTCTCATACCATGGTTTGCCTCTGAAGTGAGACAAACTGGGTTCACATTCACTCACTCTCAATTTGTGACCTTGGGCCACCAACTTCTCTGAATTTGGGGTCTTTTAGAAAATTGAGAGTAAGAATCTTAAGGGTTTTATAAATATTAAATTCACTGTCATTGTGTATGCATATTTCTTAGCATAGTTTTCAGTACATAATGCATAAATGGGAAGCTCTAAGCCTTATTTCAAACTTTAACTCAACTTTTGTTTGACCAGTAAAATTTTCTGCTTTGACCAGAATGTTCAAAAACACACCTTGGTAATATGCCTTTTGTAGAACTTTGTTTATAGTTCATTCTCTCCTATTGGCATTTCTCTTATGTGTGGCAGAAGTTGTAGCTGGAGCAAGTACTTTTCACCAAGAAAATATTCTTCCTAAATTAAAAAAAAGTAAAAATTTTTGCTAGATTCAAATGGAGGTGATATTTATTTTGCTTTAAATGTCCACAACACGTCTTTAAAGATACTTACCTAATTCATTAAAATATTTAGTGTTGGATTCCTTCAATGTAGTCTAATAATCAGCAGATAACAGATCTCTTAAGTCACTTTTCATAAATCTTTAGTTTTTCTTAAGTAATATTTTTTAAGTATTTTTCTTTGTTCTACTCCAAAGACCTAAGCGCTATTGCTATAAATTCTTTTATATTGTGGTTGTTTTTTATATTGTGTGGTTGTTTGTAAGAGTTAAAAACACAGGAAAGACAATCCATTTGATTGCTTTTCTATTCACCATACTTTTTTTTTTATAAGTTGCTCATAGGTCTTTAAGTATTTCAGGTTGTCTAGATGTAAGAATTGATTTAGCCAGTAATTTAAAGACACAGTGTAGGTGCAGACCTCCAGCCTAACCTGTGAATACTGCTTTACTTTCTATTAGGAATCCTGCCTTTCAGATGATTACTGTTGCCAAGGAAACTGGCCTGGGCCTGAAGATCCTAGGAGGCATTAACAGAAATGAAGGGCCCTTGGTGTATGTTCAGGATGTCATTCCTGGAGGAGACTGTGATAAGGTAAAAACAAAGTGAAAATGCACCCTCCCTGCAGTCAAAAATAAAAAATCCACTAGCAGTGAGTTTGTTTTCCTACTTTACCAGTAAGTTTTTAGTCTAAACTGAATGTCCTCAGTGAAAAGGATTGGGACCAAATAAATAGACCTTCACCTTCAGTGAGCTTTACCATACCAAATGAATAGATTCTTCATATATGAAAATACTAGATATGTCAGACACTAGCTAAAGGTTATGTATATTTTCCTTACATGCTGTCTAACATATCCTAAGTATTGTTGAGACTTATACTTTAAAACATGGTATCTGTCTTCCACTCTGAATTTAAACTAAGTTGGATTAGTTGAATCTGAACAACATTCATTTAGCCTCTCCTAAATGCAAACTAAAGCAAAATAAATAAGCAAAACAGCAACAAAATCTATTCATTTCTCGTTTAGATTCCTCAGGAGAAAACAGACATAGAATTAAGACTAGAAGCTATTTTTTTTTTAGCAATTAGAAAGTCTTACTCCCTTCAAAAATGTAGGAAATAAGTAATCTAATGGTATATTGATTTTTTTTTTTCTTCCTCTGGTTGCTGGGAAGCTCAGACCCAAATTTCAAGCAAAACCCCAGCAACTTAGTCAGCAAACTGATTGCTATGTATGAATTGTCATTTCTTTTAGATTTTATTTGCTATTTCTGTTTTATGGATGTGATTTTATATATCAGTTTTAAAAATTGCCTCCATTTCTTTTTGGAGAGATATATAAATAATTTAATAAAATATTCTACTAGTGTCAAGCCATAGAACAAGAAAGGATCTCCTTGTTATTAAATTTGTTCTTACTATTTTTGTTTGTTTTGGTTAAATAAATGGTCTTGCTCTTACCTCTTTTCCCGCAGCAAATACTTAGCAAGCAGTTTGTCAGTTTAACTGGACTTTTTTTTCCTTATTACAAAAAAAAAGTCAGTTTCACCAAAAACTTTCAAAATAGTTCAAATGGTTTCAGTTGTTTCATGCTTTTCAGATAACAAGGCATTCTCCAAATATACTTTCCAGGTTCAAAATATGTAAGTTTAAGATGTTATAATGATACACATTTTTGACTATTCAATTTAAATTACTAACCAAATAAGAACATATTTAAATGTTAAGTTAATAAGGGCAAAATAGTTTCTGCTGGGTATTGGGGGGAGAGGGAGGGGGTGGAGTAGGTGGTAAGGGAGGGGGTGGGGGCAGGGGGGAGAAATGAACCAAGCCTTGTATGCACATATGAATAATAAAAGAAAAATGAAAAAAAAATGTTAAGTTGAAATAAGTTCAAACAAACAAAAATGAATTTTTTTCTCCAAGATTTGAGATATTTAGTGTCTTTAGATTTAAAGCTCAAGAAGTGGGGGTGAGGGATGGGGAGGCCTTTAGTATAGCTAAAGTGTTTCTTAGGCCATCTTTGATATAGTGCAATAATAGATCATGATGCCTAACAAGTGATAAGAATTTGCTTTTCAGACAAGCACAATTTGTGCTCTTTTATTTTCATGGAAGACATTTGAAGTTAGAATAATGAATTCATAGAAATGGTGCTGAATAACTCTGGAATTATACCCATGGTATACCCTTTTGCTTGTTGCTGCTCTTACAATTTCATTGAAAAAACATTAAAAGCAAAGCTTTCTAATGGGCTATATTCTATGGTTACCACTAGAGAGCAGCATCGAGGTATTAATGTTCTATCTAGCATGTCCAAAAGATGATAGCAGCCCAACTAGAGAAAGGTATAGTAGAAACATAAGTAATTTTCCAGTACTTACATTTATTTTTGAATATTTCCTCAAGATATAGCACTATGGGCATATTTTCTCTACAAATGCAAAATAGAAAATAACTTAGTCAAAATAGTTATTAATAATATTCTTATGTTCTAAAAACTATTTTAGTCATGTTACTAAATTTCTAATCTGCATAAAATTTCAGTATAGTGGGTATGCTCAGACTAGGTAACATACTCTTGTAAGATCACCCTTAAGATGCTGAGTGGGTCAATTGTTAATGCTTTCTAAAATGCATCTGAGTACTTTAACTTGCTATAATTTTAATGTCATAATTTGTTAAAATTAACAATGTGGGCATTCTCCAGATTGTCCCATTTATAGTCCCAAACTTCCCAAACAAATAAGAGAATTATTAGAACTCAAAGAATTTTCATAGTTAGCCAACCCCCGTCCTTACATGTTTTGTTGGTTTTTTTCCTGGCAAATATGAGAATATAATACTTGTTCAGTAAAACAAAATATCATGTTCCTTTGAAAACATAATCAGAGTTCAAATGGGATATAATGAGCACAGTTTTCCAGTTTGCATAGGAAAGAAGTTTCTCTTCCTCTGAAGAGCTGTTTGGGAACAAACATACCATGTACTGAATTAAGGAATTATGAGAATTTCCAGGCCTTTTTCATTCTATCAGCTGGTCCCCTACTAATCTAGAGTCCTTAGTTACCAATCTTAGACTTTGCTCCTTTGAGCTTCATACCCATCTATCCAACTTCTTGATGAGATACTTTGATGTCTTAAAGACATCTCAAACTTAACATTTCTGAGGCACAATCTATGATATTCACCTCACACTCTCATCTTCTCATTGCTTCCCAAATAGATCCTCTTCCACTGTTACAAATACGGCCTCTTCCACTGACAAAAAACCATTGTAATTATAAACTCAGAACCTAATAGCTTCTTTACTACTTCCTCTCCCATAATAACCACATCCCACCTATTAGAACACACTGTTTTCTCTTTTTCTATCTAAATATCTCTCAAACCATCAGTCTTTTTTGGTCTTCACTCTTATTACCATAAGCTATGGTTTACTTTGTCAATCCTGTCAGCAAACTTGGTTGCCTACAGGGCAACCTATAGTGTGGCTTCTGTGCTGTACCTCTGTATCTCTCCACCTCTTTGCTTCCGGACTGGGGTTCTATCAGTTCCTGAAAAGAGCCAATTTCTTCCTTACCTCAGATTCTGTTGGATTGAGAACAGTACCCTCTTCCCATTCCGTTACTTCCAGATATCAGTTCAAAGACCATTTCCTAGGGGATATGTTCCCTGTTCTTTTCTAATGTGACTGGAAATAAGGCCAAGTTTTATTTCTTCTGTATGTACTTCTAGATCTTGTTTCTTTCCTTCATATTGCGTATCTCAGTTTGTAATGATACATCCATATCTGTGATTGCCTTTCATCTCTACTGAACCACTAGTCAGTATGTTTACTAAGGGCAAGGATTCTATCTGATTTTATTCACAGCAGAATTCTTTGTGTGATGCATGACACATACCAACTGCTCAATTAATATTAATGAATGAATGGTCCCATGATCATTCAGTCATGTTTCTGTGGGTTAGTGCTTTGCTTCTTTACCATTTCACTGCCACCAGCTGGCTGGTCTCCACGTCGGCATACATCTGCTCCCCAGCTCTATGTGTCAGGTTCTCTATAACACTTGGAAGTTTTCAAATATTTTGTTTCTTTCTTTCTTTTGTTGTTAATAACACGGGCACAAATCAAAAGCTTGTCTTCAAACCTAATAATACATTGCATATTTCACTTAGTTTATTCAAAGCAACATGTTAAAACATGTCCATACATAAGCTGTATATATATATGTATATAATGCATGCCATGCATATATAGGTATGTGATAATAATTGTGTGTGCATATATGTGGATTTCTCTCCTCTCATAAGTCTGAAGGTGGGACGGTCTCTCTATGACAGTCCATGTCATAGTGTACTTGGCAGCATTTTTTTCTCATTGCTACATAAAGTAATAGTGGCATCTCAGATTTATTAAGCACAGGACTTTGTTGTCAACCTGCAGATAAAGACAGAGGTCACACAGATATAGGTGCTTGCGGTTAGTCATCATTCACACAGGATTGAAGAAGGGCATATTTAACTTTCAGATGACAGCTATTTTCAGAATATGAACATTTCACTGCAAATGAGATGAAAGCTTTGGATCAGTACCAGGGCTGAGTCTCTGGATAGCAGGGCAGGAAGAAAGTAGTCACATTGGTGGAGGCCAAGGGCATAGCAGCCAAGATGGTCACTTTGCATTATTAATTTTATCATGACCACCTTAATATCCTCAGGCCATTTCCTGGATCTCATTAATTTATTATTGACTTTTTAGATACCTGGCACACTGTACGAGGGAAACAACTACAAGAAAGACATGGTTCTGGCCAATGGATAGAATCAGTGTGACTGGTGTGGAATTGCTGAGTTAATATGCTTTAATTCAGGGGGGGCAGATATAAACAAGGATGGAGTTTAATGCATGCAGTCATGCCATAAGGAAACATGCTTTTTGAGCAAGTACACAGGAGCAGTTAGGTGAATCTGGGGAACTGGGGAAAGCTCACAGCAAAGATGGTGTTTGAACTTGGAGAGTTCACGCAGAGAAGTAGGAGGGTAGATGGTGGCTCTCGAGGTAGGAATCGATCTGTATAAAAACATTAATTTTTGAAAAACTGGCTGGTCTGAGGAACATTCTCTGAGAACAAAATGAATAATTTTTGTGCTGGGATGGGAGGTGTATGATAAAGCTACAAAAAGTAGGTTGCAGCTAGTTTGTTATGCTGGGTTTTACTTTCCTTTTAGCCCAGACCAGCTTCGAACTCCCCATCCTCCTGCCTCAGCCTCCCAAGGGCTGAGATTATGACTATGTACCACCACACCCTGCTTAATTTTCATTTTCTAAAAAGTTATTTGCAGCAGACTTTTTTTTTTTTCTTCTTTCCCTCCTAGAATCTTACTTAGCCAATCTTGTGAATTTCTGAACCTGTTTCAAAGGCAGAACCTGTAAATGAAAACACAGCTATTTCTGAATTCTGCCCCTGCTGGACTAATGTGTATGTGAAGCTGTAACTTCAGGAGTATACCAAGGCCTCTCCACAGTCCAGATTCTGACACTCAGCAGTGACTTTTTCACAAGCTGAACTTCAGCGTCTGAACACTTTCACGTTGACATTCATGGGGACATTGAAATAATAACAGATGCTTGACCTCTTCCATACTTCTGTTAAAAACTACAAGTATTGTTCCAATTATGATTTCATTACATGGTTTATAAATACATGTTACCATATTATCAGAAACCATCTATACAGCCTCTTAGCCTGATTCTGATTTAACTAAGTCACTGTTCCTTAAAGGAATGCTACTTTTGTAAACCTTTGGATTCCTTTCCCATACTTTGACAATCTATAGACTAAATGTAGCCATTTTTTTTTTTTCCCTTTTTGGTAGCACTTGGATTTGAACTAAGGGCCTTGTGTTTGCTAGGCGAGTACTCTATCCGTTAAGCCATACACCTAGCCCTTTTTGCTTTACTTTACTTTTTAGGTAGGGTGTTGTACTTTTTGTTCACAGCTGGACCTTAGATAGCAGTACTCCTACTTATGCCTGTCAAATAGCTGGGGTTACAGACGTGACCCACTGTGCCCAGCTTATTATTGAGATGGAGTCTGGCCTTGAACTATGATCCTCCCATCTCTGCCTTTCATGTAGCTCAAATTATGAGATATGCATACTCGGCCATGTATCCTTCTTTTAACTACCGTTTTTAATGTAAGCTCAAGTTGTTTAACCTCTATGAAGCTCCATCCATTTTCTTAGTTGAAAAGTGGGGTTAAATATCTATAACACAGGATATTATTGTAAGAATCAAATAACATGTAAAGCACACTGTAGTTGTTAAATGAGGTAAGGTAACTCACACTCTAATCTGTTGTGCATCATTTTCACATGATGCAAATTCAATTATGTTACTCCTCAAACTGAAAATGAGAACCTTTGATGGCTACTCAGTGGCAGAAAACAGGCAATGGAAGAGACAAGGCTACTTTAAGAAAAATAAATACTGTTATTTATTGTTTTTTGGAAGTAAAGTAGCCATAAATCACCAATTTTATAATTCAGTTCAAACCAAAGGTTGATTATTCAGGGATGTATTTAAAAAGGACTTTAAACCAGGCACCAGTTGCTTATGCTTGTAATCCTAGCTACTCAGGAAGCAGAGATCAGGAGGATCATAGTTCAAAGCCAGCCCTGGGCAAGGAGTTTAAGATACCCTATCTTGAAAATACCCAACATAAAAAAAGGTTGGGAGAGTGACTCAACTGGTAAAGTGCCTGCCTAGCAAGTGTGAGGTCCTGAGTTCAAACCTCAGTACTGCCAAGGAAAAAAAAAGACTTTAAAGTCAGATGTTTCCTTGAAGTTGTAGGAGTTATTTTAATACCATGAGGATAAAAATTCTACCTTTTTAACTGTATGTGTTAGACAGCTTTCTATCACTATAACAAATAAACTTCTAAAGAGAAAGTGTTTCTTTGGATTCACAGTTTAGAGATTTCATTACACAATTGATTGGCCTGTTACTTTGGGCCTCAGGTGGCACGTCATGGGCATAGCATGTAGCAGAGCGTAACTGCTCACCTCATGTCCAGGAAGCAAAAGAGAGGGAAGAACCATGACCCCTTTAATAGTGTACCTCAGATGACCCCAAGTCCAGGCCTTGTCTCTTAAAGTTTCTACCACCTCCCAATAGTACCAAGCTGGGAGCCAAGCCCCTAGCACACCAACCTTTAGGGTACACTCAGAATCCAAACCATAATACCATGTAAGCTTTTACTATAGTTCTGGAAACAATCCTTGCTGCCTTTGTAATAATAGTAAGGAGAATATTATCTTAGGAATGGAAAAAGAGGACAGTTTATTTTTCTCTTCAGTTTGAATTAAGAGAAAAAGAACAAGTGCCTGAGTTATATGCCTAACAATCATATTAAATCCTGTGATTGATGTGCTCTGTCTTATTTACTTAGACTGGTTATGAGCAGAGCCAGGACTTAACAAGGGCAGTGCCAGACAGCCAATTAACATTGGTCCTTATTACCAGGATATGGCTAATGCTGCATGCACAGTCAGCTAGGCCTAGCCTCAAGAAGACATGTGATCATGAGATGACTATGCATAGGATCTACATAATAAATATCCTTCACTACATTCTTAAAGTTCTAATCCACATATGTATTCCTCATTGAACACTTTGGTGAGAGGAAAGATGCAAGAACGCTCAGAATCTTAGAGGAACATGATCTTTATTCTGAAATATCCACCAGAATTTGGCTTACCTTATCACAGCAGAGATTTATTGGTTTCATAGAGCTAAGCTTTTAAAACAGGTCTCCTTACTTGGTGTACTGGCTTCTCTGCTAATGTAGATGGATTGCCTAGTGTGCACATTTATTCATGGAATACAGGAGCCATGCAGTTTACTTGTGTGTATTACCAAGGTAGGCTTTAATCAAGACATTTTGCTATTGAGATTCTCTAAAGTCTTTTTTTTTGTTGTTCTTTCTCTAGAACATTCCTCACAGTAACTTTTTATTGCTTTAATTGGACTAATTAGTCTTTTTTCTTAAACACTTTATTAGCTTCATTGTAAATCTCATTGTTTTGTTTTGTTTTAGGATGGACGTTTGAAGCCAGGAGATCAACTTGTCTCAGTAAATAAGGAATCCATGATTGGTGTATCATTTGAAGAAGCAAAAAACATAATTGCCAGAGCCAAGTTGAGGTAACAATGCTATCCATAAGATAGAATGAATCATTTAACATGTCTCTTTAAGCATAGTATTTTAAGATGTCTTAAGTACTTTAGACCCTTAATTATATATATATTTAAAATAATATTTGAAACATTATCTTAGAATTCACTTGTACTATATTTATTACACATTCATAAAGTGATTTCTCTTTAATGCTAGGTCAGAATCTGCTTGGGAAATAGCATTCATAAGACAAAAATCTGATGGTGGTCCTGGAAGTCTCTTGTGTCCCTCCCTGTTACAAGCTTCAGGAGAATGTGGAACTCAGGCTTCAACATTTCATCTTTCTCCTCCCCCTAAAATACTAGTTCCAAAGACCTCATCCACTCCCAAGACACAAGATACCATTTTGCCGTCTTTTAAAATGAGTCAGGTAATCTTCAATTTCTCCATTTATATGTTCAATCCATAAATCCTCTATGTGTTTTTATCTTGGTTATTTGAAGTATAATTTCATTAGTACTGTCTATTATCAAATTAGTATTAGTACTATTATAAAATTAGTATTTCCTTAAAAGATTTTTCTGTTTTAGATTTTTATGTTTTTCCATAAACATAATTTTTCAAATCAATGTCCTTTGTCTAGAAGCCAAATCAGACAATATCTGCGTGGCAGCATGGTATAATGAAGATTCGCCTAGCTGTCACTCCTAACTATGTTAGGATGTCATATTTGGTTTCAGGCAGTCTCTAGTATGGTTCATTAGTTCACATTTGTTTCCTACTTCTTGTTGTTCCTTTGCTTCTTTCCTGCACTATGAGGCTAATCCTAATTATCCAGTCTCTGTAGCTTGTGCTCTCTCATGAGCTAGAAAACTGTTCACCCCATTTACAGCTGTATAAAATGAGGAATTTCTAATATCAAAATTAATGTCAATTCTAACTGCTGTATTGTCCTAATAAATCAAGTTATAAAATAGAGCATATATTTTTTAAATCTGTGCTAGCTATAAAACAAAATAGGAAAGGCTTTTAGTCAATGGGACAAATTCCTTAAGAATAATTTCAGACTCAGCTATGTGCTGATCAGAGACAGAATGTAAATTTTTTAGGGGGTGGTTTGAACTCAGGGCCTCAAGCTTGCTAGTCAAGGTACTCTACTGCTTGAGCCAGTCCTCCAGCCCTTTTTTGTGTAAAATATTGTTGAGATAAGGTCTTGCTTCTTTGCTGAGGCTGGCTTCAAACCACCATCCTTCAGATCTCAGCTTCTGAGTAGCTAGGATTATAGGCCTGAGCCACCAGCACCCAAATAAGACTAAGATTTTGTCAGCCCCTTATACTCTGTCTTTTAAAAGACAAGGTACATGACCTTATCCTTGGACATGGTAGAGCTGAACACATTTGTTCCCTTTAATTCTGAAGCACTTTGTTTGAAGATGAATATACCAAATTTAAAGACTTCATATTTTTTTACAATATTGCTTTAATTTCTTTAAGCATTCTTTTTATGTTAACATGAGCATCTAGTCTGGTCTTTGACCTACTTTAGAAAATGACATTGCTTGTTCTTCATTTTCTTTCACAGATAAAACCTGGATACAAGAAAACAGAATATACACCAATTACTTCTTTGGATAGTAGCCCTACAGATATGTCTAATTTGGGTAAATACACATTTAATTCCTCTTCCTGTTATTTTTTTTCAATTACCCTCTCTCAATGAAGAGTACATAATGTGACTTAATAGACTTTAAAGAAGGGCACATTATGCCTTTTTTTCTTTCAATGAATAAAAGGGCAAAATGAATGTATTGTCCATTGGTCCCTGTTAGTTTATGACATTAATTGGAAATTTTCTGAACAAAAGGTTGAAATTTTGAGAAGGACATTATCACAAATGTCTATGAAACTACAATAGTTAATAAATTGTTGGAACTAAATTATGAAAACTCTTCTATAAGTCAAGATTAGGTTGTCTTGTCCTTTTATGAAATACTGATGAGGCATATTAAATGCACCTTTCAAAAACACATAAAAAGAAGCATAACTTAAGAAATGTCTCTTTTTTTGCGTGTGAAGAAAACATGTAGCCATAAATTAGAAAGATCAGTTGTGAATTTAATATTACTGTTTGTTAATTACCTTGAAATGATTTACTAACTTTTTAAAAACAATTAAGCAATAATTTTCTAAGTTACCCATATGAAAAGATTTTTATCAAGCTATAAAGTGCTTATTGGGTCAACTATGAAGAAAAAAAAGTCCATCCCCTGAAATCATCTCCAAAGGTAAACTGAACAATAAAAAACCTATACTTAACATAAACAAAAAGCTAATTACATATTGCTAAATTGTAATGCAAATTGCTACCCTATACTTAACTTTTAATATCATTATCTAAGTGAGAATGAAGAAATATAGTTTAAATTAAATAGCTACCAGACATGGGCCAGAGGTCTAGCTCAGTGGTCCAGTGCATACTTAGCATGCATAAGGCCCTTGGGTTCAATCCCCAGCACCCACACACACATACACAGCACACATGCACACACAGCATACACACACACACACCCAGAAAGCTACCACCAGACTTTATAGGAATTTGTTCTATATTCCATGCTGGTTTCCTCTGATTTTGGACAGTATGTTCCAATGGGATAGTAGCAATTCTTATCCAAAATTATATGCCTTTTAATTTAGTGAGATTTTTTTCTTTGACTCTTAGAAACTTTGTTAGCTGTATACTCTTTATGTAATTCTTGTCCAGAGTCTTGATATTCTCTTTTTATTTTAAACTAGAAACACCACCTGGAAAGAAAAAGACAAATGAAGTGAACAGTCTGAGTAGATGTGGGGTCAGAGTTGCCAGACGACAAAAGTCAATGAATGTCCTTTATTCCTTGATCATAAGACATTTAATTATGACACATTTATACAGAATGTTTTCAGTCCTTAAAGAAATTGAGCCACTCAGTGTCCCTTTTAACTGTTTATTCCTTAAGTATTTTTGTTCTATGTACAGAAAACAAAGTGCAGTAGGATTATGAAGATCTTTCTGTGAGACAGTTAATAGCACACCATGAAATAAACCATGGTTAAACTTCTTCATTATTCAAATCAGAAAGCATTCAAATATACAGGAATGTATTCGTTTGTTATGTGTATGTACATGTGTATGGATTTTGGAACACCTTTGCATAAATAATGTAAAATCATGAACAAAGTGGAAGAAAGAAATAGTGGTCTGAGTATGGTGTAGGGAGGGCACAGTGGTCACTACTAGGTTCTGAATACAAACTTACAATTCAAATCCTTGCTCCTTGCTCATAACTCTGACCTTGAAATAGTTGCCTCAGGGTTTGATATAAGGAATAAAGGTCATGCATAATGTGCACTTAGTATTGTAACTGGTACAAGGCAACTTGGCCCAGCAAAATTTGTTCATGTTACAGAAATTTATACTAGTGCATACCTCAGATAATATCCCAATGTATGTTTTTAGAGCAGAAATGAAAGCTTCCAACACTTGGTTCTATTTCATGCCCTCCTTTCAGCCCCCAAACTAGTACATACTGAGGGACTTATTCATGATATGCAGCCAGGTATGGTGGTGCATGTGTGTAATCCCAGCTATGGAAGTATAAGTAGGAGTGAGGTCCAAAACTGGCTCCGGGTGAAAACCTGAGACCCTATCCAAAAATGAAATAAAGAAAAAAAGGCCTGGAGTGTGGCTCAAGTGATAGAGTATTTGTCTACCAGTAGAAGGACCTAAGTTCTAGCCCCAGTGCTGCCAAAAGACAAATAAACAAAACAAAAAAATCAATTAAGAAGCATTTCTTGGAAAACGCCTAATCTCTAAAAGTTGAAGGAAGTGTTGTGAAGCAGGAGATGATCTCCATCTAAGGAAGCACCATGAACAAAAGCACAGAACCAGGATGAGCTGGAGGTCAGATGACCCTAAGAGGCAGGTCTTTAATGCAAAGAGAGCTTAGAATCATGAATAAAGTAAGGGATTTTGCACCAGTGATTATAAACAATGATACTTAGATTTTGTAATAGAAAAATAATTAACCAAAGTTATATTTGAATAAGTTGTATATGAAGTAAATATTAAAATGTAAATAAAATGGAACATTTCCTAGGGTAGAAATAGCATTAACTCAGTCCTGTTTTCTAAATTCCACATAAATATAGTAGACACCATATTTCTGGACAGAGAATAAGAAGTACCATCATTCCCTAATAGCATAAGACTCAATTTCTCTACACCAGTCTTTTGAAACTGAAGCACAGTACTGATGGGGAAAACTATCAAGGGTTCATGCCATTCATCAAATGGTATTGATCCTGCTCTTATAAAATTCCCTCTGCTCCTAAACAGAGGAGTAAGAGCAAAGACTGAAGAGAATGATAAGCTGTACTTTAAAAAGTCTCACTTCAGGAGCAAGCAAAGAACTTGAGGTTGGGATAGAGAGATGGGAAAACTGCCTATGAGGAGTTTTCCAGTTAGGCTACTTGAATTGCCAAAGTGTGCTGGTTTTATGCACAGACCCTCTTAAGGTTTTAACTCAAAAGTAAAGATTTAGAGAAAGGTAGGCTAAAAGAAAACAGGATTTTTTAAGCCATGACTGCACATTGTTAATTGAGGGAGGGAGTGTGTTAATAAATAACAGTGCCTCTGTGTTAATATTAACAATAATTTATAGTTTTTAATAGTTGTATATGGTTTTATTGATTGTTTTTGTCTGTCTAGTTCATATAAAGTATGTTATTCTTCATACTTCATAGATGAAAAACTGATAATAAAAAATGTTGGCACAGAAGAACACTGATTTGTGGAATCATAAGAAATTAGAATCCTAACGTTGTAGTGTACTTGTGTTGACCCTAGGCCCATTTCTTTATCTTCTTTGGCCTGATCTTTGAGATGAAAATACTAACACCAGTGTCATTGTGGTTATTGTGAAGATTAAGAAATCTATATATATGTGTAAAACAGTAACTGGTCCACTGCCAGTCTAGAAATAAGGACAAATAAGAACTATTCTTTTGTTATTTCCACTGTTAGGCCTAGCAAATTTTATGCTTAGATGTAGGAAAATTTAAGTAAGAATACATGCCTCAGCATATGTGGGTGTTGTGAGTATCTTTATCTTTCTCCTTTCTCCCCCTTGTTCTTATCTCCTCTGCAATCCTTCCATACATTTGCACTTGAATAGAGTAATCTAAGCCCAGTTCTTCTTGGTGTGAGGTCATACCAGGTCAACTTGGGTCCACCTAGTGTTAGTGTGCCTTAATTGCAGGCTGAGCACCAAGCTGGAAGGCAGGTCTCACAAATGGAAAGTTATGTAGAAGATGAAAAATAAAGTGGGTTTACCTGTTGTTTGGTCTTCCATAGCATTTCGGTCATGGTCTTTTATGCCACAGTTAGGTTTGCTGTAGAATTTCTCTGAAGATAAAACAAATACATATTTAGTATTTTTTATTTCCTGGTCTACAATTACATGTCATGATAACAGAGGAGACTTTCTTCTTTGATCAGAATTGTAAAAGTTCTCTTTCACTAAAATCAATCTTTCTCAAGGTTTAATTCCATTTGGAGCTAAAAGTCAGTAACCATATTTTTTAAAATCTTGACACCTATAAGCTATATTAAAGATTTTGCATAGAATGTTGAGGATGTGTTAAAGGTTTAAAGGAAGACTATTTATTTTCATATGCACTTATGTTCTTAAAGAGAATGCAAATCATTTTGTACTTAGAGACAGATGCTCTGAGAAATTAAAAAAAAATTAAAACACTGCATAAAGATGTGACATTTTTTAAAAAGTTTTTTCTCTTCCTCTTGTTTCTATGTAGAACTAGTAAAATACCATTTAAAAGCGTATTTAGAATAGTGACAATTTAGATAGTAACGCTTGACATAAATCACAGAAATTTTTCAAATTTTGGCATATTAAAACACACAGTTTTTCAAGGTCTGTCTTCTTCTGCCACCTGATTTCTGATTCCCACAGCTAGGACAAAGGCATAGCTACATAATCAGAGCATGTTGTAAAGGTGTAGGGAAATGAGAGAGAAGTGTATTACCCTCAACTCTTAGAAGTCCCCTTATGCTACAATAACACCCTTCTGTGAAATAAAGCATAGGATTTTTAGCTCAAAAAGTTCTCTGTCTTCATCATACTTTCTGTGCAAACTTGCAATGATTTGCATTTATGAGGTTTTCTAAAGTGTTTCCAGAGTTCATGTAACAAAACCACTTTTTCAGTCAAAAAAAAAATACCGTTATCTTTTGGAATCTCTAATATGAAGGCATTGGAAAGATGGTACTGGTTGGATATATGTTTGTCTTTTAGTTTAATATTCCCATGGGACTTCAAGATGAATAATCGGCAACTCTTTTTATATTGTATCTTTTAGGGCTCAATTTAAGCTGATTTATAGGATACATTTTAGACTTACAAAAAAAAATTCAGGAAAACAAAAACGAAACCTGCCAACTGATTAACCAGAATTATTTTTAAACATCAGGAGCCCAGAACATATCCTTCAAAATGAAAAGTTCTGTTCCAATTATGTTTTTAGTTAATGTGTATCCATCCTGTTGTCTTCTAGCTACCACTCCTGCCTGGACCGATAATTATGGACCACAAGGAAAGAAGATTTCCCTAAATCCCTCTGTTCGCTTTAAGGCAGAGAAACTGGAAATGGTAAATCCCTTAAACTTTCACTTTTATTTATAAGACAACAGCAGGAGAGTACTTTCATTCTTGGAGAGGTTAAAGTTCTGGAGGCATTAGTTTCTTGAAGTTACTTATTTGTAATTAAAAGGATGATTTGGCATTCTTATATTACTGAAAGGATTGTCCCATGGTAAAGAATTCATTTCACCTCATATAACCTAACATTGTATATTTAATTTTATGTATTAGGCTACATTATGCTGATTGGTAGAAGCATTTTTCAGATGATTTCCTATTATGCATAACTAGGAAGTTTGTTTAATACACTTTGTTATGTTTCGTATATGATAAAAATGCATAAATTTTTGGCATACAGCTAATAAGTTTTGAGTTTATCTAGGTATTTATCAATTCAATAAAGATATCACTTTGAGAAAAAAAAGAATGATGGTTTAGGTTTAAATTATTTAATTAATAATGAAATTTGTCACTTCATGATAGTTCACTAGTGCGAAATGGAAATAACACCTTTTGTAATTAAGTTGGCATGCACATTAATGTTTCTTTCTCTTTGGCAATAAGAACAGTATGATGGACAACCAAAAAACTAGATAGCATTTGTTGCCCTCAATGCAGAGAAACTATTGCAGATACCTTAAAGTGACAGAGACCAATAGAAGGGGACCAGGAACTAGAGAAAAGGTTAGTTTGAGAAGAATTAATTTAGAAGATAACACACATGTACAGGAAAGCAATACAAGTCAACTCCCTGTATAGCTATCCTTATCTCAACTAGCAAAAACCCTTGGTCCTTCCTATTATTGCTTATACTCTCTCTTCAACAAAATTAGAGATAAGGGCAAAATAGTTTCTGCCTGATAGCGAGGGGAGAGGGGGTAGGGTAGGTAAGAGAGGGGGCAGGGGGAAGGGGAGAGAAATGACCCAAACATTGTATGCACATATGAATAAAAGAAAAAATAAGTTCAAAAAAAAAAAAAGAACAGTATGATGTTTTACAATCTAGAATTGATGAAAACATGGAATAAGTCATGACAAAGTATAGAAGGCTTAGTAGGTAATGGCAATAAGTACAAAGAAATAATGTCCATTGCTCATGTTTTTAAAAAGTAAAGGGTTAATAAATCCTAAAGAACAAAATAATCAGATGCCCACTGATTTTACAAAAGACCATAGCAGTGTACTAAGGCACTAAAAAATAGTCCTGGGGACTTAATATTATTTGAGTTAATTAATATTAATTTTAAAAACCTATAAGGATGAATATACACTTGTATTTTCACAGAAGAACACATTATAAGTTGTTGTAATTGAAAATTAAGTAATTCTTAGGATGAAAAAAATTGCTATGTTTATTTTTAGTGTATCAGAGGTTCCCCTGAACTTTTGCATGTTGTTAATTAATAATTAGTTATGTTAATTAGTAAATTTTATGTCTAATTCTAGAAATCTTAACTCATAACTTTTATTTGTTTTAATGGGCTTTTAAATTTGTTTTTCAAATTTTACTTTCAACTAATACATAAAAGCCTAAAAATTATATTTATTAATCGGCCACCATGTAATGAATGTTTCATTACCTACATACACTATATACTGCTTACATCAGATTAAACCAATTTATCTCCTCAAAAAAATGATTAGTCCAGGGGAGAATAAAGCATTGAGAGCCTCTGCATATAAAACAAACTTATTTTGATGATTTAAGAATAAAAATTAAAGGTATAAAGTTATGTTAAAACATCTTCTCGGGTTATCAGGGAGCTGAAAAGAAAAATGTGCTACTCCTGTTTTTTGTTGCTATTGTTGTTTTAGTATAAAAGAGTCCACAACCCCCACCTTCCTGTGAGTTTTTGTAGATGCTATTTTTTTTCTCATTTTTGGATGAAAATGAAATTGCATACCTAGGATAAATAGACATTGCACTGATTCTTGTGTCCCCACCTTTACTTGTTCCTGTAATCGAATCTTTCTCATTACCAGTCTAAATCTGTTGTTCAAATGCTGACTCAGTTCCATCTCTTTTATCTAGGCTTTGCTAACTTTGATAGATGGAGCAAATTTTGCCTTATTTTACATGTTTATAGCACTGACCATCACTTTGAACCCCCATACAGTCTTTTCTGCATCTCCTTTTCTCAATGAGATCATATGCTTCTTTGCCCATATTACCTACCACTATTACCACCTGGTTTTTGAGTACAAGAGACAGAGTAACAAGAGAAAAGCATACAAACTTACTTAATGTAAGTTTTACATTACACAGTAGCCTTTGGAAATGAAGACCCCAAGAACCAGGAAAATCTGTAATTTATGCATAGGTTTAGAATGAAGAATGGACAGTCTTGGAGAACTAGGACTGGACAAAGTAGATATCACCTAGTAGTAATGAACTAGGGAAAACTTAGAAAGACCTGTTTGTTTAGATGCTTATCTATGTCCTTGTGTCTTCAGAGATAAAAATGTAAATAATCTAAATGACCCTCAAATGCTTAAAAAAAGTTCAGTTCAGACAGTGTACAACTGCAATTTTAAAAAGCATGCAATAGGTTTAAAATGTACAGAATAGAAAACTGTGACAATTTTATTTAATGATAAGCTTTAAACATGGAACATTATATATAGTGAAATGTAATTTGTGCAAAAAATACATAATTTATATAAATTTATATATAGGCACTATATTCAGAGAAGAAAATCTGGAAATGACACACCAAGTTGTTCATAGTGTTCTCCCTGAAGCCGTAGTTCTGAACGATGGCAATGCAGTCTTTCTCCTCGGGGGACATTTGGCAATGTCTGGAAACAGCGTTGGTTGTCGATATTGGAAGACTGCCTCCAAATTAGTAATCACCAATACACTGACATCTTAAAATTCTGAGTGAAAAGTTAGAACATATTTCTAAATAATTGTGAGTCAAAAACATTGCTAATAAACATGTAAAAGATGTTTATCTTACAGTTAGTAGAATTCAAATTAACGATATATTTCATATCCAACATATTGACAAAAATGGAAATGTGAAAACAGCAAATTCTAATAAGAACATAGAAAAATAGGATTTTTTATATGCTGCTGGTGTGAATAAGTTGCTATAACTGGTTTAAGAACAAGTCAGCAATATCTAATAAAGTTGACAATGTGTATCCTCTATGACTCAGTTTTGTAGAGATAGACATAGAAAAATTTTCACACATCTGTAAAAGGAGACATGTATAATGTTTTATAATTTAAAAAACTGATTGGAGTAATGGTGAAAGCCCATCAATCAGGGAATAGATAAAAAATTATAGGATACTAACAATGAAATGTCATACACAGTAAAAATAAGTAAATTACTTTTGCAGGTAATATTGGCCAATTGTGAAATCATAAATTTGAGGTAAAATAAAATAATTTTCAGAGTTCTTTTAGATCATACTCTTCATATAAAAATTTAAATGCACAAAATTAAAATATGCATAATTTCAGGTGATACAAGCTTATACAGTAAATAACATTAAAATATGGACAGGAGGATATACCAACCTTAGGATAACAGTTACTGCTAAGGAACAATAGAGAAAGTTTTTGACTAAACCTCTGGTTTTATTTCTTGAATGTATATGTATATATGGTATTTGATGATAGCAAGTACATGCATATTTGTATTCATCTCTCTTTTTGTAACATTTGTCACTTTTTTATAACTGAAAGGAAAGAACAACACACAAAAGCTAAAAGTCTTTCAACACAGCAGACAAATGATGCTAGACAGTTCTTAAGACACTTTCGAGAGAATCTTTGCGATATTCTCCCTTCTCCTGTCTTCTACTGTGTGCAGTCAACTTGAATACAGTACTTTAACCAGTTGATTTTTGTCACAGTGAACCCAGCATGTACTTAACTATATTTATTTACATGTTATTCTCACCCTAGAAACCATAAGCTCTTTGAGGGTAGGGACTATGTGCCATTTGTATACACCCTGTACATAGTTTTATGCTTGACAAACAGTAAGTACCAAATAAATATTTGGCAAATGAAATGATGAATCTTGAACATATTCCAAAGGGAGAATAAACTTGTAAGGGATTGTTACCAAGAACAAACTATGTCTACCTTTTAGTTTGAAGTAATATATATTCTGTACATATTCTTGCCAGTCCCCATGCATTAGTCAAGATTAGTTTTTGCAATATATAACTGAAGAACCCAAGATATCAGTGCATTCCATAGAAATGTATTCCTCTTACACATAAAGAAGCCTGAAAGAAGATAGTCCAGGACTGACTGGCATGGAGGCTCTGTAGTGTCAGTGACCCACATTCCAGTCTCTGGATCAGAAAGAAGTCTCTGTTCCACCATCTTCATTAAGGTACCTCATGAAACAAGGTGACTGCTCAAATTCCAGCAGTATTTTCTTTCTTCTCTCTCCCTCTACTCTTCTTTTTCTACTCCTACTCCCCCTTATTAAGGCAAAGGAGAGAAGGAAAGGGACAAGAAGTACTTAATCCCTGCTTTTGAAAGGAGAGCTCCTGGAAATGCTCTCCAGCACTTCCTCTTATGGCTCATTCATTAGTACATTGTCCCCTGGCCTTATCAACCTGCAAAAAGGACTAGGAATGTCCCTTTTGCGGGTTGGATGGCCATGATTCTAGCTAAAAAACTGTGGTTGGTTCTTTTACTAAAGAACAAGAAGAGAAAGGACAATGGAGTAAAACTAGCAGTCTCTGCATTTTTACTCATGAATGGCTTCTGAAAGAAGCTTTACCCACAAAAGAGAGAAGTGAGTGCCACAGAAAAGTTGCTATTTTTCGGTGTTTATGCAAACCTACCCCTAAGTAAGCCAAAAATTAGAGTATTTTAACCAAGTTCCTGTCAACTTCAGTTTTGCTCTCAAATACTATGCATGTTTTTGTGTGTTATTGTAAATCTGACTTTAATAGAATTCTCTTGTTATTTTTCTTCTGCCAAATCATATAAACTAAGATTTGGTTTGACTTCTGGATCTAGAACTATTCTTAGGTATTTGCCATTAGCCAAAGTACTAGTCTTAGAAAAAAAAATTAAAGTGGTGGCAGAATTAGGAAGGTAATCTTTTATAGGCAATTAATCTATAAATAGCAGACATTCCTTGGGCATCTAATTCTGGTCACTGTTCCTGATGTTGACTTTTTTTTTTTTTACCCCACTATAAATTAAAGTTATAATGAAAAGTTTTATTCTTTGGAGATTTGAAAAATTGCTTCACGTAAGTTCTTTTCCTCCCAGGCTTTAAATTATCTTGGTATCCAGCCTACAAAGGAACAACACCAAGCCCTGAGACAGCAAGTACAAGCAGACTCAAAGGGAACAGTATCATTTGGAGGTAATGTTAAATCCCTGCATTGTATTATCACAGGAAGTTGGTGAAAGAGTTATTGTGACCCATTTTCATTAAGAGCATGTGTTCTTTGGAGTAGGGAATGAAAACTAAAATCACATTTACTTCATTTCTTAATCAGTGCTCTAAAAACTCAGCTAGAGTTACTAACCTGGCTGGGTCAGAAGACAGGAGAACATACTAGAAACTTTCAGCTCTCAAATATCATCAATCATATTTTTTAAATTTTTTTATTCATTTCATAAACATCACTTTAATAATAACAAAAAAAACAGTATAAAATATAGAGTCCTAATTTCAGTACTGTGAGATTACTTCCAGTTTCTCTGTTCAGCAGTAGGATATAAATATTTTTATGGTGCTATATGATTATCTTCAGTAAAGATAGCACAGTGTACCACTTAACAAACTAATATTAAGACTTCTGTTGTTGGCAGTGTTAATTAGTGATTTCTCAGTAACTGAAATAATTACGAATTTATATATTTTTTAATGTAGCTTTTTTTTTCTTAGGATAAGTCCCCAGAAATGGTTTGGACTTTCCAACTTTTTTCTTTTTTTTTTTTTTTTTTTTAGTGGGACTGAGGTTTGAGCTTAGGGCTTCAGGCTTGCAAAGCAGGCACTCTACCACTTGAGATATACCACCACAGAATTTGCCTTTTTAATATTTTTTAGTTTATATTTCATATTACCAATAATGTGCTTGTTGGTTGAAAGATCCACTGCCTTATTTAGAGACCAGGGATTTTTTTTTTTTTTTTTTTTTTTGGTAGCACTGGGCTTTGAACTCGGGGCCTCACGCTTAAAGATAGGCACTTTACTATTTGAGCCATTGCACCAGCATGGACTTTTGATACATACTGAGACATTGTGTGCCAAAGTCATTTTACATATCTATTTGTTCTGCTATACGAAATGTGTGTAACAATTTTTTCTATCCCTGACAGCATTAAGCTTTCATTTTTTCTTATATAGTAGTTGTTATATTGTATCATTTTTAAAAGATCTGTTACTAAAAAAAAGAGAGGAAATTCACCTTTTAGTTTGAAGTGATGAAAAAAAGATATTTTTGATTCCATTGCCTTTTGAAAATCACCCCAGAATAATAAGAACAAGAGCAGAAATGTTTATATACCCAAAACCACAATACCTGAGGACAGAAGGTAGATTAGGAGAGTAAAGGAATTAGTGAGCAGAGGCAGGTAAAGTCCAAGCGTGTGAAGATTTAGGGAAATCACAGTGGGGAGCATGCCCATTTAACCTGTGAGAATTGAATGCATCAGGAACAGAAGGCTGGGCTTAGGCAAGACATTTAAAACAGGATTGTTAGAAATGTTTAGAAGGAGAATTACACATGCTGTTCTGTGCCCCTTCTCAAGCAGTCTAGCACCTACCACTCCCTCAAATTAAACCAGAGAGATTAAGGACCTATAGTTGGCAGCAACAGGGGAATTTGGAGGAGTATATGGTGAGTCATTACTCACAACACACACCCAGATTGCTCAGTGAAAAAATTGTAGCTGTGTTTATAGTCAGAGGCAGGAGATTGTAGGATTCTCTCTGAAGAAACTGAACAAAAATGTCTGCTGGCCACCTGGTTGCCCTTTAGCGAAACCTGCCAGTTGACAAGGCAAGTTATGCACACAGAATTTCCAACCAACAATTTTAGTGCCTGATTATACAAGGAATCAACAAAGTTAGTGCCTAGCCATGGGTTGCTAGATGTTTGGAGAAATTCTCCAGCATAAAATGTAGAGCCCCAAAGTATCAGACAACACAATAAGGAAACTCAGGGGAAAAAAGAGAAATGAAGGAGAGCAGAAGATAACTTCAGATTAAACTATAGTTAACATCTTCAAAAAGACAAGTGAAGATAATGCATCCATGAAATAAGAGCAGGATGTTGTAAAATAGGAACAATTGGAATGTAGGGATTAAGACCACAACAGCCAAAATGAAAATCATTTGAGGATACATAGATGAATAGGTTGCTCTTGTGTTTGGAGAAGGTTACAGATTGATCTGATACTTATTTGCTGAGTGGCCTTGGGCATTTAAGACAGGCTGTCCTTGCATCAGTTTATTCGTCTGTAAAATGGAGAGGATAAGGGGACCTCACTCAGAAAATTGTGAGGGTAAGATTGCTAAACACCATACAGCAGCTGTTAAATAAATGTTAGTTGCTGATGTTATTATTAAACCTCAGGGTCTTCCTGCTAGAAATCCATAAATCATAATATTGTTGTATGTGTTGAAAAAATTCTATGTATAATATAAGAGTTGAAGAATTAAATGTCTGTGATATATGTTTGCTTTATTTTCTTAACTAAATTATTAAGTTCAGCCAAGTTAACTGAAGCACGATAAACCAGTTTATCTTTTACTTCTTGTTTGTACTTACATTAACCTGTTACTTCAATCAATAACATGTTAAGATAATTTATGGAAGTTAAATTTGAAGCACTGGTTGTAGCTTCAGTTTCATACAGAAGAAGGTACGATTTGTTTAGATGAAGTTAAATGCTATGTTCTTATTGAAATGTATTTGTTTTAGATTTTGTCCAGGTTGCCAGAGATTTGTTTTGCTTGCAATTGGATGAAATAAATGTTGGTACACATGAAATTTCCAAAATATTAGACTCACAGGTAGAGTATTCCTTGTATAATTGTCTTGATGGAATGTAAATCATGAATTATGAATTTATAGGTTATATACATAGGCCTTTTTTCATTTTTCTCTGACTTGTTTTGTGGAAATTATACAAAATGCAGATTAATGTAAAATCAAGAGTAAAAATTCGTGTAGCCTCTTCTCTCCTTAGCCCCTAGTGCTGCTTACATCCCTAAGGTCCCTGGCATTGATAGTTTGCTATATAGAAGGAAACAGAAAATTGTGATGTGTGTCCATTGTAATTTGTCTTGATTCACTGCGATGGAATACTGTGATTGAATCAACTTTAGGAAATATAACATTAAAGAAATATATTACCAGAACCCCAGGCGCTCGCTCATATCCATGCTCCTTTCCAATTGCTAGTGACAACCCTGTGTTCCTCAAAATCAGGCCTTTAACAATGAATTTGTCTGTTTTGTACTTTATGTGAAACCAGATACAAAGATGTGTCCCTACAGCCCCCACTCTGCTCTTTGGATCCATTTCTCTCTGACAGTTCATTATCACTACAGCTTTAGAATGCTAGTAGAATACTAGATTTGTTATTATCTGGAAAGTTGAGTCCTTCATTTTTTTTTTAACTTTCTGATTTTTATCTTCTAGATGATCTTTAGAGTCGTTTTGCCATGATAATAAAAATTTATGGGACTTATTTTTTTGGAATTGCATTAAATTAAGAGGACGGTTTGGGAACTGAATGTGACTTGGACTTTTATTTCCATTCATTTAGATCTTTGCTCATGTTTGAGAAAGAGAAAGTTCTAGCCCATTTCATATACATCTTGAATACTTCTTATTATGATTAATTGCTAAGTATGTTATAGTTTGTGATGCTCTTTAGAAATTAGATTTTTATATTTTTATCATTTAGTTTTGATTAATTTTTACATGCCCATTTTGTGTGATGCCCACACAAAGGATGTGCCCACCACCCTTATTCCAGTTGTTTGTTTTTCATTTATCTTTCTTGGATTTTCTAAATACGTACTTAAATTTTCTAGACAGACATTTGAAATTAGTTTTTGTCCTTTCTCAAATTTTTGTGAATGTATTTTTTCCTAGAATATTTTTCCTTTTATTGAGGCACTCAAATTTATCAAAAAGTAGCACAGATTTTTTTTTAAGTTTTTAATCTTTTAATCTTCATTTTTGATGATAATGATTTTTATTTCATAAGTGTAGTATATAAAAATTTTTCATAATATGATCATACCTTCATATTTTATAGGTCCAATTTTAGTCAACAAAATGTAATAAGGCTATGTGATCATTTGTTTAAATCTCTGATCTTTTTGCTTAACCTCTAAACATTTTCTATTTACATAGTTTCCTGTTTGTTTGATTATTTTTAATTTAGTTCTGTTGAAGTTAAAGAACGTATTCTGCATATTGTAAGTCCTTTGACCTTACAGCCAGTGTGTGGCCTGTGAGCTGGGCCCCATCTGTTGAGAAGCTGCACATTCTGCAGCTGGTGAGTGCCGTGCTCCCCGGTGTCACTTAGGTCAGGGCTCTTCGTTTCATTTTTAGATTTTCTATTTTATTGTCAGCTACTGAAAGCATTTAAAATTTTCCCCTATCTAGTCTTAAATTGTTGTATCTTTATAGGATATTAAATCCCTTTATCTCAGAAGTGTTTCTTACCTTTTCAACTTAGTTCACTGATCTAGCTGTACCACTTTTTTCAAGGGCCTGGTTGTTCAATTTCCAATGATCATAGTTATTTTTCTTTTATATTTATTTATTTTTAACTTTTCTTTACCAGTATTGGGTTTGAACTCAGGGACTTGTTTTGCTGTACCACTTGAGCCACACCTTTAGCCCTTTTGCTTTAGATTTTTTTTTTTTTTTTTAGATATTTCTTTTAGATATAGTGTTACACTTTTCCCAGAATGACCTCAAACCGTAATCCTCCTCCTTGTGCCTCCAACATAGCTGGTATACCAGGCATGCACCCCCATTTCCAGCTTATTGGTTGAGATAGAATCTCACTAACTTTTTGTACAGGCTGGCCTCAAACCACAGTCCTTATCAATGCCTTCTAAATAGCCAGGATTATGGAAGTGACCCACTACACCCAGCTACTTCTCTCTCTCTTTTTGTTTTTTGTTTTTTTAAAGAAAAGCGTTACCTAACTCTTTTAAATAAATCCAATAGATGTATATATCTGCTGAACCCTTTGGGTGGGTTATTTTTTGACTTCGTTAGTCTTAATAATGAAGACATGTTTCCTTTCCTTGTTCTATTTATTTATTATATATATATATATATATATATATATATATATGTATGTATTTTTCATTGACAAAATGCATACACTTATCATGTACAATGCAAAGCACTGCCACACTAGGGACCAAGCCCCAAACACATGAATCCTTGGGGCAACAAACCATACCCAAGCCTTAGCACTACTAGATTTAAGTAATGTACTTTATTGACAGGAAGTTTAAATACTGCTTATTATTAATTACATAGTTCTAGAAATATAGGGTATATGTATATGATTAATTGATTGAACAAAATTATTTGTTTAAAAAATGATGCATGTCACTTTTTTAAATGTTTCAAGCCCCTGCCTTTTATTTAGTAATCACTTTCTTTTACTGCCAAACATGTTGCCCATAGAAATCACCCAAAGACCTAGTTGTTTTCCCAACTTTCCCAGATTGAGGCACCAATTTATTATACTAATTCTGGAGCATTTATCAGAGGAGAGCAAAAGTGTAGGTGCTGTCTTCCTTCTGCTGGCTCAGTGTTATGTACATCTCTACCTAATGTCGATGGCAGAACAGTTTTCTACTGCCAACCAGTTCTCAAAGCTGCCATGCCCATTTTTATGAGGAAAGACCAAAGTAGCTAACCACATGCCAATGAGATGAGGAATTGTATGAGCACACCGAGCTTCTTCAGCAGCTGCCAAGAAGTACTCGTGCTCTGAATTAGTAATTAATTTTTCTTATCAACATAATTTTAGGGCAGATAAGGACATATTCAATCTGTGATAATTTGATAGCAAAAGCCATTGTGCAAGAGGTTCTACAGGCCAGTCATTTCCTGTTGTGGCATCAGATCAAAACTTTGTACAACAGTCATTACATTCATTTATAAAATTTTGGTGGCTGTATTGTGCTTGTCACCACACAAAAGATATTGCAACTAAGGGGTTTCTTTTTAATTTTTGTTTGACTCCACAATAATACTGCATTTTTCTATCACACTCACATAAATAACTGAAGTAAAAGTTTCTCAAAGCATGATTTGCCTTTTATATATGAATTGCACTCTTATTTGATAATATTCACTTCTGTTTCATTAAAAATTTGGTCTTAAAATTCACTAATGGATGATGTATCACAATCTGAAAAAAAACTATACAAATCACTACTCATCAAGTGACTCACCAAAAACAAGTTAAAAGTAACTTATTTTCTAGTACGATTCCTAACTTTTCCGATTTAAAAAGCAGTCTTGGGACTCCTGAAACATATCAGTTAGTCTGCGGCTGAGACTGCTGAGAGTCCATGAGGGTGGGGAAGTTCCACTATGGGTACCTCCTCACCACCTCAGTGTCGCAAGTCTATTAACCATTTTGTTAGAGATGCCTGTCTTTTACTCACATGTTTTCTTTTTCTTTCTTTCTTTTGATGATAGTTTGTCTTTTTTCTTAATTTGTTATTTAAGAATACTTTGCTGAAATAGAATGTATGCATCATAAAATACAGTACTCTTAAGGGAGTAGCTTGATGGATTTCTACCATGTCTCTCAGGTGGCATCACCATCACTCAATGCCAGCTTCCCAGTCAGCTGCTTTTCCCACCTTCACCTGGGAACCACTTTTCTGACTTATAATAGCAGATTACTTTTACCAATTTTTAAAATAGCAATCATGTATTCTTTTGTAACTAGCTTCTTTTACTTACTATTTTGTCAACTCATAAGAGTTCTTGAGATGCTATCGTTTAGGTAGGAATTGCTGAGTCAGTATAAGGTAGTTCTAGTTTTGTTTACTTGGCAAAAAAAACTTTTGGGTTTGGGAGAATATAGCATTTAGAACCAAATACATAATTATCTTGCTGTGATTCTAATCATCATTGCTATATGAAAATTTGCACAGTGCTACACCTACTGCTGGCACAAGGTTAAACACAGAAAAGGCAAGACTGGAGCCCACATCCAGTAGTACTCCAAATTTAGCAGCAGCAGACTAGAGTCCATCATAATATGACAATTTTATCTGGCTAATCAAATATCACCAATGGATTGTCTTAAAATAACAGCAAGAACACTAAATTCCTTAAAGTAGACTTCTTTCAATCTGTGCTCTGTTAAATTAACTTAGTGGACTATAGCCACCATTTTAACAAGTGAAATTGATCAGTGAAATTGCATGTGATACAATTGGGTACTTTTTCACTTACCTGGGTCATGCTGTGCATGCTACTTCTCACTGTGGATAGCCTCTTCCCTGAAGACTCATTGGTAAGACATGAGATACAGATTGAACAACTACAGTGTGCATGGCATCGTGTTAAGTGCCATGGCATGTTCATTATTAAGACAAACAAAACTTGCCCCTATAGTGTACCGAAAGCCCCACACACAAATAATTATGTTAAAAACACGCCCTGTATGATAAGGCTGTAATAGTAGCAGACCTGAGAACATTCAGGGATGATTCATAACAGTTGGCATTTGAATTAATTTTTAAAGACAAGTTATATTTTATCTGCTCAAGAAGTGAGCAAGTGGTGATAAGAGTTAGAATTAGGAAAAAGAATCAAATGTGTTTGAAAGCAAGTAGTCTATTTAAAAAAAAGATCATTGAATACATTAAAGGGTAAATACTAAATGCAAAATTTTATACATTAATAAGTAGTCAGAATACATTAAAGAGACTACTACCATGATCAAAGTAATGTTTTAGAAAGAGCAGTTGTATGTATTGGTTATGTAGAGAAGGAATGAAACTAATGGTAGATAGTCTTATCTAGGAGACTATAAACAAAATGCAAATATGCGATAAGACTGCACTGTTGTAAGAGTGGGAAGAATGGAAAGAAAGGAGTGACAGTGCCAAGACATTTACCAAAACATCATTTATGTCATCAATATGACTTTCTGACCATTTGAATGTGAGAACCAAGGAAGAAGAATGAGCTAAAAAATAGCTCCAAAGTTTTGATTAGGATGATTATAAATATGATGGTACATTAAAAGATATACAGAAAGAAACCCTATTCAAGGCAGAAAAAGTGATGAGCAGGGCTTTATAGAGTAAGTTGAAGGTGCTGATGGGAATAAATAGCCAAAGGCCACTGGAAATAAGATACTGCACACCAGAAGAGGGATGTGGGAATATTTGGAGAGTGACAGTTGAAGCATGACCATGAATATCATCACTCACCTTCTGGAGAAGGGGGGAAAGGATAAACTTTGGGGAACCACCTACTCTTTGTCCCAGTTAAGCAGCAGAAATAGAAGTCATTGGATATAGCCTAAATGTTCAGAAGGGTAGGTGAGATGGGAGGATATCACATCTAGAAAAGAGAAAATTTAAAAAAAATAAAATAAAAAAAGCTTGAGCCATGTTATACATAACACAGAAGTTAAAGTTGGTGGGGGCATTTACTTGGCCAAATAGTAGTTTCATTTGAAATTGTCTGTAACCATTTTAGAAATACAGGAATGGATCTGGGCGCCAGTGGCTCATGCCTATAATCCTAGCTACTCAGGAAGGAGGCAGAGATAAGGAAGATGGCAGTTCGAAGCCAGCCTGGGCAATCGTGAGACCCTATCTCAGAAAACCCTTCAGAGGAAAAAAAAAAAATAGAGCTGGTGGAGTGGCTCAAGGTGAAGGTCGTGAGTTCAAACCCCAGTACCACAGAAACTTTTAGGTAAATAGAATGACATAGTCATACACGATTTTATAAGGAAAGGAGGTAACAAAATGGTTTCCTAATGGAAGACTTTAGCAATATAATTAGACTGAAGGAGGTTATTTTTTTAAGATAATTGAGGCTTGGGAATGTAATGGGTAGAATAGTAGCTATGAAGAATTGATGCAAATCAAAAGTGACTAAGATTATGATGGTAGAACAACAGTGAAAGGTGAGGTAAGGTCAGACATAGCATAGTCCAATGGCCTGCAATGTCTCTTGGTAACTGTAGAAGGAGACTGGAGAAAGCAGAGCGGAAACACTTTTCGATGTTATTTACCAAGTGTTGCAATGGTCAAGGGCCCAGGATCACAAAGGATTTTGTGAGAGCCAGACAGGAAATGGAGGTAGAAGGTAAGAAGAAGAAAGTTCAAGAGTTAGAGGTAGGTTTAAGAACAAGCATTGTCTGAAATCATTGCTAAATAGCAACTGTTCTTTTTATTTGCTGCTTGGTTAGTTGAAATATATTTGAATAGAACTTTATTAAAAAAAAATCATTGGGCACAAAAAGGGGTTTTCAAAGAATTAACAAGTGACATCTATAACCACTTCTCTGGCCACATTTTTTGCTGAGTAGTCTAAAATAGCAATGACATTCCAGTTTTTTTTAAGTCATGGTTTGTCCTGTGACTGTTTAATCTAATGCTTTACACCCTAAATGAATTCTTTTACATATACCTTACCTCCATGATGTTAAACTCAAAAGTTTGTGACCTTATGTCTAAAATCCTTCTTCTTAATTTCTCTTCATAAATCGCCAGAACTCCATAATCTAAAATTTTGTTTAAACATTTTGCTTTAGCAGTACTGGGGTTTGAACTCGGACTCGTGCTTGCTAGGTGAGTGTTGTACCACTTGAACCACACCCCTAGCCTTTTTTTGCTTTAGTTTATTTTTTAGGTAGAGTCTATCACTTTTTCTCTGGCTGGCCTCTGACCGCAATCCTGTCTCTACCTCCTAAGTAATTCGGATTACAGACATAACCCCACCATACCCAGCTTGTTTAAACTTTTGAATCCTCCTATGTTTCTTTAGGATAAGAAGTTATACTAGGTCCATATGAATGTTGAGTATCAGTGTTCTTAGCTTGTGCTGTGCAGGCATTAGTTCCATGAGCTAATGTGAAATAGGAGCTGATTTAAGTACACATTGTCAATCACTGAGAAACATGACAAGTTATTAAGTTGTTTTTCCTTTTAGAAAATTCATGCATTCTTTAGCATATGAAGACTGTTGGAAACCATATAGGAAAAAAGGTTTTTTGGGGTTTTTGTTTGTTTGTTTGTTTTTCCTAAATCCTACCCAACTGCCACCATCACTACCATTCGGTTTTACTTTTACACAAAATTACTTACTATCCTTCAGAACACACTTTGGAAAGTAGCATTACAATTGAAAATATGTTCAGAACTAATTTAAAGCAATGTAGGAATGAATGTATATGTATTGAGTACTTCTGAAAGAACAGACGAACAGAGTTAGGTGAAGAACTTGAGATGAGTTAATTGTGGACGATAGCCATCAATACCCAAATGTTACTGTGACAGGGCAAAAAGAAATCAGTCTTGTTTAGGGAAAATATTTTCTCTCCAAACAAGAAGTACAACTCCTGCCTTTGTTATTCTTAGGTTTCCAAAGCAAATATGAATTTGTGCTATCCCACAATGGTTTTTGTTGAATAATTAGTAAAAATCACAGGCTTTGATGGAAGACCTGGGAATCTTGGAATGGGCATTTATTGGCTGTGAAACATTAGGCAAGTTCCTGACCTTTATGAACTTGTTTTCTCTCCTATAATATGGTGACAAGGCTATTAGAAGGCTGTAATATTGAATATATCCTTATCAGTGCATCTGCACATAATGAGTTCCTAAAAAGTGACTGGTATTATTTATAGTTTTATTATCATTCCCTACTCTGTATTTAAAGGGCTCTGCTTTAAGCCAGCACTTAATATGGCAGTCATTTTCTCCACTCAGTGTTTTCTATACTTTTTTTTTTAACTCTATTATATCTTCCATGTAGAAGATGGCTATATTTAGACTTGGGTTTTATATTTGGTTATGTTTTCATTGTTTTTTACCTTGTAATTGAGTGGCGAAGAGATCGTGCTAGATGTAATGCAAATTGTCATCTTGCTATTTTTTGTTGTGGTTATTCACTTCTGAATGAATTATTAATAGCATCTTCAGTCCAGTTTCTGTGTAGCAATCTTTTCTAAGCCAGTTGCATTAATAAATATACTTTAATGCCTTTGTGGAAATCATCTTAATTGATGATACACATTTTTTAGCTCTTAGAATGAATATGTTTAAAGAGTAGTTTATGTTGATAACTCAAAGTCTATTTAATATTTTCGACGTAGTCATGGAATTTGGACTTTTAAGGAAAATTGTATTGATAAAATAAAAATCATGAAGGTAGCAATAAAATATGTATATCTTTTAATCATCTGAATTCTAAGTACTAAAAATGTTAAGTTTAAATGAATGAAATTGCTCTATACTTTAATATTCTCTTTTATCTAATAAGGCTTGGATTATATTTAAAGACACCAAAGTAAGAAACTATATTTTGTTATCAGAATTCAAAAGCATAAAACTAGTCAAAAAGCATTTCATGTTAGTTCTCATAATTAGCATCTAATGTATAACTTCCATATTTTAATGTTGACAGCTTCTTCCCTGTGATTCTTTAGAAGCAGATGAAATGGAAAGGCTTAAGAGGGAACGAAATGATGCCTTGGAAGAAGTGAATATGCTTAAGGTAACCCGCAGTTTAGCTTACTTACATTTTCTTTTAAAAACAAAGAAAGAAAATAATCCTGTACTGGATTCTGAGGTATTTAGGCTTAGTTTTATTTTTAATGAAAGAATGTTAATATCAAATAGAGTCAAAGTATTTCTTTAATTGGTGTTTAGAGAGTTAAATTTTTAGTTCACCCACTTATTTCTATTTTACAATATCCATATAACATTTAGTGCGAACAGTGGTTTCTTTTTTTTTTTTTTTTTTTTTTCTCTCTCATATTGATAGAAAGAGCAGAATTAACTCAGGAACTAACAAAGCAAGCGATGGCTATTTTGGATCCTCTGATGTTTCCCCTAGTAGAGGGCCATGCTTAAGGGACATCATGTTTTCTGTTACAATTTGAAATTAAGGCAATATGCTTTAGACCAAGAACAAAACACATGTTCCACATGTACTCTAATATTTTGATTCTCTTTATATACTTTCATTCAGATTTCAGCAAAATATTAAAATTTAAGTTATATCCTAATTTTTACAAAAAGCTATTGTATTTTCCAAATATTCAAGAAAAGCAACATTACTGCCTTATTTACCATTAATGTACCATAGGAATATGCATTTATATTGTTGTTATGGTTTTGGTTTGTCTTTGGTTTTTTGCAGTAGGGTCTCCCATTACGTAGCCCAGGCCTCGAAGTTATGATCCTTTTGCCTCAGGCTTCTGAATGCTGTGATTACAGACATGAGCTGCCATACCTTTCCAGAACATGCATTTTTAAATTATTTCATTAAGTGAAATTCTGTTGTTAATTTAGTTTTATTGCTATAGATTATTTACACGAAAGAGAAAGGAAATTTTCTTGCTACTTTAGCTTTTATAATCCCAACCCCTAGAGGAAGATAGTGTTAAAAACACCCTGTTTATCCTTTCAGGGCTTCTGAACCAGCCAATCTCATTTTAAAAAATAAATGTATATGTGGGGGTAAAGATGTATGGGAACACTTTGTACCTTCCTTTCAATTTTACTGTGAACCTAAAACTGCCTTAAAAAGATGAATTCTTTGAATAGTTTTTTAAAAAAGCATATGTGTGTTAACTTTTACATAAAGCACATCATATATCCCCACTTTTTTACAACTTCTTTTATTTTTCTCTCTGTTAACATTAAATTCTGGTAAGCTTTTGAGGTTAATATTTACAGATCTACCACATTGTTCTGAATGAATCTCCTGTACATTGAATAGTTTGGTCCCAGTTTATCCCTATTAATGGATATTTGGGCTATTTCTAGATTTTCATTATTAAAAATAAAACCACCTTCAAGAACTTTGTACATGTACATATATTGGTACAGAATAAATCTGTGAAAGCTGGTTATAAACACAAAAAATTTTGGTATATTGCCAAATTCCCTTTCAAAAGGGTTTACTGATTCATGTTCCTTCCAAATGTATATGAGCATTCCACTACTACAGGAATGTTTTATAGCTTTCTATTTATAACTTCAAAATCATCATCTTTCCACATTTTGGTATAACATGAGTTTAGATGGAAAACATATAATTAATATAAAAAGATAAATTTTCAATAGTTTCTTTATATTCTCCTAGAAAATTTCTCCAATGATGATTGCCTTGATAAGATAGCATTTTTGTATGCATAATCTCTGTTAAACCATTAAATCTTTGGTTAGTTAGAATTTTCAAACACTCAGATCTTTTTCATTTCCTTAAATTTTATCATTGTCAAACTTAATGATACATTTCAGGTTTTTGAATATCAACATTTATTAATGGAATTTTAATTTTAAACTGTATCAGCCATAGTCATGTAATGTTTAAACAAGGGTCTCCTGAGGTGCAATTCAATTAAGTTCACATTTAAAGTTCATGAAATATGACTGAACATATTCTAATGCAGCAAAACCTGAAATCTTAGATAAAATAAATTTGACATTTTATAATTACCTCTACCTTAAAATCTCCTGACTGAGAACCATTTGTAAGAAACTACACAAGGCCAGGTTCAGTGACTTATACTTATAATCCCAGCTACTTGGGAGGTGGAGATGAGGAGGATTGTGGCTAGAGGATAGCCCCAGAAAATAGTTGGCAAAACCCCATCTCAATCAGTAAACTGGGTGTGGTGGTATACTTGTCATCCTAGCTTTGTGGGAGGTGTTCAATAGGAGGATTGAGGTACAGGAAACCAGGGCAAAAGAAGAGACCTTATTCAAAACATAAAGAAATCCAAAGGCTAGCAGTGGTAGAGCATCTACCTAGCAAGTGCAAGGCCCTGAGTTCAAACCTCGGTACTACTTCTCCACACCCCACCAAAAAAAGAAGCTATACAAAATAGTATACCAAAGCAATAAATACGTTATTTGAGGTAATGTTTATATTTTTAGTTTTTCTACATGCAGTATGTACATACAGAGTGAAACACAGGTTGTTAAATGAAGTTCATAGAACATGAAAATGGTCTGTCATCACTTTTCATCATCCTGTGACAGCTATATTCTTCATGTCTGATTTGAGATGAAACCAAGATAATTCTACGCCAGTGATTAATTGCTGTTTTGCAAAAATGATCTTGAAAAGTGCTATAGGCTCTTAAATAAAGCCTTTCTGCAGATTCCACATTGCTTCTGTTTTGCAAAGGTGAATGAAAAGTAGATATATTTCCCATTTATAGATGCAAAAAATCCAGAGCACAAAAAGCAAAGGTGACTTCCAGAGTCAGCACGCAGTCTCTTGGCTCCTAGTTAACAATATATTCATTAGATTGCTATATTATATTCATCTGCACATACCTTCATTTCACCTCTTAGACAAGAATGAGCTGAAATATTCCAGAAAGCACATTGCCTCTTATAAATATTATAATGTTGCCATGAATTTTTACCATCAATTTAATGTTCAAGCAATTCCTCAAGTAAAATGTCTCATACCTTACTCTTAGTAGCTCTGATTAGATATATTTAACAGCAAAATTGGACAGTTTAGGGGATGTGCTTGACTTAATTTTAAATTCAAAGATGGTAATTTTTTGCTTGCATTCATAATATTCATCTGCCTTAATACTCTTATTAATTTCATATTTTAGTTATACCCATCCTATTCTCCTTTTTGTGGAGAATTTTTCAAGAGTAGGCTAAAATTAAATTAGAAAATTAATAATCATCTCAGTCTTAACTATTCTTTAGTATTAAAAATGCATCTTATTTGTAATAATAATGCTTTTCGATTTAGAAGCTCTTTCACAATGACAGCTACTACCCAAAATTTAGTTCATATTTTACCTATTTTGATCTTGACTGATTCTTTTTGAACCTCAGATTTTGGCGTTTGACAAAATGAAGGTAACAGAAAACATGTTTATATCACAGTTATACTATGGATAACTAACTACTTAGAAATGATGCATGTAAAGCCAGAAAAGTGACTGGAACCACATTTTCAGATTGTAGCAATTTTATATTTTAGGAATGCATACGCCTTGAAATAAAGTACCAAAAATGCTACCTGATAGCTTTCTAACAAGTTATTAACTTAATGGTTTTTACATATATATTATAGGAAAAATTATTCGAATCAGAGAAGCATAGGAAACAGCTGGCAGAAGAACTCCAGAGTGTGAAACAAGTAAGTGCATTGCTCCGTGTGTGTGTGTGTGTGTGTGTGTGTGTGTGTGCTTTCTATTGTGTGTGTGTAAATGTAGAAGTTATAATTTCAAAGCAGTTATGCTTTATAATATTCCAGAGTTTACTGGTGCCAAATAATACAGTATAGAACATTAGCAACCTTAAAAACAATCATTTTGGGGGGTGGGGGCAGGGGGGAGAAATGACCCAAGCCTTGTATGCACATATGAATAATAAAACAATAAAAAAAATCATAAAAAAAAAAGAACAATCACTTTTGGAGACTGTACCTGTGTTGAAGTCCTGCTACTGTTATTCAAATGCTAAAACTACTCTTTGAAATTGCTTTTAATGGACAAAAACTAGCAATCTTGTTGCTTCTCTATTCTTTTTCTCTTTCATTTTCCCTTTTCTTTTGTTATATACCTCATGTTATTAAAGAAAAATAAAGGAAGCCCCCCCCAAAAAAACAAACTCCAAGGCAGAGCATTTTACACATTCAGTTCTTATTAATAAAAAATAAAAATTTATTTCCACTCTGCATCATATTAAAAGAATTTGAGTTTAATTAAAGTAAAAGAAATACAAGGGCAATATCATGAAATAACAAATAAACTATAAATAGGAGTAGAGTTAAGAGAACAGTGTTAGACATCAATAGCAATTGCTTGACTTTGAATCCCTGTACACTCTCCTCCGAGAATTGACAAAATAAATAGAACCATATATGACTCTCATATCATCAATATGACTGTGTCTTATAGACCACCACAACCTTCAAAGTGCATATAAATAGCATGAAAATTTTCCACTAAAACTTCTTCCACTTGCCTGCCACTGAAACCCAGGGTACAGAAAACTGAAGAGAAGGCTTTAAAAACTGAAAATGAGTAGGGAAAAACAAGAATTAGATGAAATATAAATTAAATCAGTCCCAGGAATGAATGGCAAAATTTTGAACATCTGTCAAGAATTGGTAGTTCTCAACATTGGCTACAAGTACTTCAAAGAGTGTGCATTCAGAGTTGGAGCCTCCGAAAATCATTGCTTCTGGGAAGAATCAGTTAAACAGAAAGAGGATGGAATACCTTGGGGACTAGGCAATGGTGGGAAAGAAGGAATAAGAGTAAATTGAGGATCTTGCAAAAGTGGAAGAAAAACAAGACTTATCAATCTATGCCATCCCACCTCCATGACCACCAATAATAGCCATTAAAAGAAACCTGCACAGAAGAGAGTACACTGATAGTCCTTGGACAATTTGCCATTATTCTTTTGCTTTGTACTAGCATATGAAAGAAAGTAATCCCTGTGTTTTTTATCTGTCTCTGTAGCAGCCAAATTGAATTGGGGAATGCATCTGTAGGAAAAAAAATTAAATACAAAAAAGAGTAGAAAAAAGTTATTTTCCCATAATTACCAAACAACTGTAAAAATGAGACATTGTGAACTGAAGCTTTTGTTCTGATGAAAACTTTCCAAGACTGTTGAATTGCAAAGATGGGGAATAAGACCATATAGCAGCACACTAACTCAGTGCATGAACAGGTATAGAGATTTAAAAACAAAAAAATGAAATGAGAGTTGATAAAGTTTAGGAAAGAAATAGAAGGAAAAGACAAAAATCTTATCAAAAATGGAAATTAAATTGCCAGTTGCCCAAGAAAGAATATATTCACGTAAAAAGGCATTGAGGAGAACAGCCAGGAGAGTGAACATGAAATTAAGAAATGAAGTTTCTTGAAGAAATCAAAAAATATCTGAGCAACACTAATATTTAGAACTATAATTTAAAAAAACCTTCCTGAATTAAAGGAAAACCTAAATCTAATGAGCACATCACCTATTTAAGTGTCCAGATACCACCCTCCTCCAGACTCCTTGGTGAAATGACTAATTTCAGGGCCAGAGGAAGATAGTACAAGATTAGCCTGACATGTCTTATGCCAGAAAATAAGGAAGTGCTCAAAGTGACATACACACATCACAAGGAGCTACCTTGAAAGGGCTTTTGCTGGCTAAATCTGAAAGAACCTGCTGAATGGTCAAGTACAGGCATAAATGGTAAACCATCGAATAATAGCAATTCATGAGCCCATACCATCTGTAATTAGATTAGCTAATTAATGGAGAGAGAGGAGTACTCTTGCTTACAGGAGAATGTTAGATGCTGACTGGTAACCGCAGAGAAGCTGCTAGGTTTGAAATCAGTATTTTGTACCTGAATTATAGTAAATTTCGGGGGGAGGATTTTTAGTGCAGTACAAGTTATCTACATATTTACATGGTTTTAAAGTAACTCTAAAAACTGCTTATTAATTGTAAAGGAAAAATAGTAATTATTCAAAAACCCAGAAAACACTTTGGTTCTAAAAGTTGCTATCACCAATGAAGAACAGATGGCTATTGTTTGATTCCAAATGTGATACTCTGAAAAAAACACAATATTACCTGTGTAGTGTTCTGGCTGAAAATATATACCCTAAGTTCTAACCATGAGGAAACATGAGACAGAGTTTTGGGTTTTTTGGGGTTCCTTGTTTGTGTGTGTGTGTGTGTGTGTGTGTGTGTGTGTGTGTTAGGGGTTATATTCTTCAAAAATGTCAATTTTATTTTTTTAAAAGATAATAAAAGGCTGATAAGATTTAAAGGTCAAAGAGACAAGAAAACTAAATATAACATATGACCCTAGACTGGATCTGTATTCTATATGTATGTATATACTCGTGTGTGCAACTGTGCACATATACACACATGAATATAGATACATCAGAGAGACTGAGACATGAAAAGTCCCAGCAACAACCTCTGAATCCCAATGCTTGACAAGAGTGCCTTATTTCTCATTTGAACATTTTGGCATGGGCTGAACCTGGTGAACCTGGTAAATCTAGGGTGAAGAATATGAGAATATTCTTTTCTTTTGTGGTATTGAGATTTGAAGTCAGGGCCTCACACTTTCTAGGCAAGCGCTTTATCACTTGAGCCACTCCCCCAGCCTGAGAATGTTCTTTATACTATTCTTACTCTTTTTCTTGGCAACTCTCTGTATGTTTATTATTTTTTCCAAAAAAAAAAAGAAATTAAGTCCTTTATTTTTCAGTCAGTTTTCAAACCCTTAACTTAATATTTTTTGCCTTGGTTGATACACCTTTCACGTTCTCTTAATTCTATATCTTTAATACCTGCATCTGTTTGTATGGCCAGGAGATTTTACATTTTAATGCTTCTTTGTATCCTGAAAGTGGACATTTATAAGTCTTCCTTATTAATTTTTATGTATTAAGTAAATTAGTGAATAGGTTTTTCTATATTTAAATTAAATCTTTTTCCTAAATGTTTAGAACACATAAGCTATAAAATTACAACCATGCTTGATGAAATAATTGCATTTAAGAGCTGATATAAAACAAGAATCTAAATAAAAACAGCAACCACACTTTCTTTTTCTAGCAATACCTACTTTTTCCACATGAGGCCCTCCTGTCTTTATTTCTCTGAAAGGATTAGTTTCTGTCATTAAGAAAGGTCAAGTCTGCAACACAAATAGTTGTTTATCAGAATTTAATAGGATTCAATAAGAAAAGAGGGGTAGACAAAAAATAAGTAAATAGTAGAAAGAATCTTCTATGATGAACAGTGAGTTGGCATAAGGATTTGTGTAGAAGAATATGGGCTTTGGAGTTAGACCAAGTAGCTTTTGACCTTTGGGAAACTACTTCATCTTTCTAAGCCTTAGATTCCCCTTCTCTAAAATGGGTTTGATCATGGGATTCTTCCCAAGAAGTTTAAAAGTATCGAGGTGACATACATAATACATGATATGTGTACTACTCATAGTAAGTGCTCTCATATTAATTAGTATGGTTAGAGGATAAAAATGTACTTTAGGATTAGGAAACTTTTCATTGTGAAAGCAGCATGTGAACTGAAGACAGGCATAAAAAGGGGAGACCATTCCAGGCAAAGTAAATAGCATGAAAAGCATGTAAACCATGTAAAGAAGAAAAACCTCGTCTTTAGGTTCAAAATATGCTTCCTTGTATGCTCACTTTATATTGAGTTGTTGTGTGTGTGTGTGTGTGTGATCCTGGGTATGGGGAAATGAACCCAGGGCCTTCCACATGCTAGACAAACATTCTACTACTTGAGCCATGTCATCAGCTGTACCCCACCTATAATCTGATTCTACTCTTTCACATTCCATATCTAACTAGATAACCCTACAGAATTAGGGGTCAATGGAATTTTTTAAATTTCAGTATTTTACCATGCTCATCAGTTGTCCAAGCCACCATCTTCTCCTGCCTGTGTTACTGTTATAGCTTCCTACTAGATCACGCTGCTTCTGCCCTTGCCCAATCCCTGTTGAGTTTTAATCTTAGCACAGAAGCCAGAAATAGCTTTTAAAACTTAAGATAGAGCTCTCCAGGACTTTCTACCTTACTCAGTAAAAGCCAAAACTGCTGCAAGTAGATACCTCAAGTAAATGTCAAAGCCTATGAGGAGTGACATGATCTGCCATCCTGCCCCAGTAATCTCACCTCCACTTCTCCACTGGACCTTCAGCCACTCTGGTTTGCCTATACCATCATCCCACTAACACTTCAACCTCCACTGTCATTGGAGAATTTCTGCTATTACTGATTGCTTATTTTTCTTCTTGTATAATATACTTGTTTTGTTTTTTCCACTTTCCATGTCTCTCAACTAGAGAATGGGTTTCATGAGAGCATCTATCTCTGACTTGTTCTCTGATTTCAGTCTTACGGTAACAGCTGGAACAGAGTAGGTACTCAATATGTAGGGAATAGAGGAAGGGATGAATCAAGAAGGTAAGATTAACTTGATAGCAGATTGGTAAAGAACTGAAGATCAAATATGTGGTGGTTGTTATAGTCTAGGACAGTGCCGTCCAGTAGAAATATAATGAAAACCACTTATGTATTGTTAAATATTCCAGCAGTTACACTGTTTGAAAAGTAAAAAGGAGCAGTAAAA